CGGAAAATAATGGTTGCCGACCTGATCCACACTTGTGCTTTTTAGCATTTCCCTTGTCCACTTTTTCAATAAGGTTACCATACTCTGCTGGCCATTTCCGGACCAATCGGATACTCAACATCTTCTCTTTGCAGAAAGCAGTAAGATTTTGGCCCCAAGAGTCTTCCACGATTGCTTTCTTGTACTCCACGGAGTAGCTTTTTCTTTTTGCGCTCATTTCTAAGGGTAAAAAAAAAGGAATTGGGGTATCAAGGTGGGGGGAGGGGAATCACTTAAAATGACATGGAGGATCAGAGGGGGAATTAAAATGGCACAGGAAAATCAGAGGGGGGATTACCATTTTAGTAACCCCTTTTGATCCTCCTATGTCATTTTGATTGCCCCCTCTGATCCTCCTGTATCATTTTAAGTGATCCCCCTCACCCCCACCCCTGTGCCATTGAACACTTCACCAGACATCCCTCCTACCCCTTTATCAGACATTTACCACCCCCTGGAGCCTGCCTGGGGACTGTCACTGGGCTTGTTGGGACCTGGATCTGGGCTGGAGCAGGGTCTGCCACTGACTGAGAACCTTTAGTCATTATGAGAGCGACCACGAGCATCAGGTAGTGTCGCCAGAGACAGAACAGCACTCACCACCTTTGCCGCGTTCCCTCTGCTCTAATCCTCCTGTTCTACACGCATCTGTGAAAGTCTCCTCCCCTCTCCCGCCCTGCACTCACTCCGACCTTTGCTCAGCCTCCACACAGCAGTGACGTCAGGACTCCCTGTAACGTCACTGGTTGCTAGACGCCAGTCAAGGCAGCCCTAGTGACCAGTTTACGGTAAATTAATTTTCATTCTGAGTCAGAGCCTAGGTGGGGCCTTATTTTCGGGGAGATGCCTTATATTTCACTCAGAAGGAAAGTAGGTCTTATTTTCAGAGGATGTTTTATTTTCGAGGAAACATGGTATTGAGTTTGGTCTTAGTCAAGATGTTAGAGCTACTTCTAGATGTTTGAGCTAAACATTGAGTTCAGAATCTCTGCTAAACACACCAATACATGTGACCTGATCTAAGATCCCTCACATCCTATCCATTTAGTCCAATACCTTAGAATTTATTCCCACACACATTCTCCAGGTTTTATTATAAATTAGCAAAATCTTAGTACTTAATTATTAATTTGTTGCTGGAATAATTAGCAATTGTTTTAGAGTGTACTGATTTCCTTCTGTCTCAGACTGTGTACCTGTTTTCCTTAGTTCTAGTTATGGGTATGAAGACAATGAGGGTGTTGTCAGGGTGGGTGTTGAGAATAGGCATCCTCTTGAAAGGGTACTTAACAGGTGAGGTTATTATTCAGACAAGAAAAGACACTCTTCACACTGGAGAAGGGTCCTATGCCTGGGGATTTGTCTGAGTCTATCCAGGGATCCTCAATCAGACCTCAAGTCTCACTCATTCCCAGTCAATGCTGTGAATATCAGCTAAGAGAATTGGCATGGCTATGAATTCAATTTAAGATTATTATAATTCTGTAACCCATATGCATATTTTGGTCCTGACCTTATGCCCCATATCTATAAGAAATGAGAGATTCCTTTTTTATTGCTGGAAGAAAGTTAAAAAAAAAAAAAAATCAGAATCACTGCCTGGAGGGCCCTACCAATTTCTTTTCCTTTTTATTTTTATTAAATTATCTGTGTACATATTTTAACATTGCCCCCCCCATACATACCCTCCCTCCCCAGAGTTTTGTGTCCATTGCTTGTACTTATATGCAAGTATACAAGTCCTTCGGTTGATCTCTTATCTCCCCCAGAGAGATTCTTTTAAAAGACTAACAAAATGCTCTAGTTCTCTGATCATGCCCTGACCTTAGAATTCAAGTCCTTGAAAGTATCCTTGCTGTGAACACCCAGCACAGTAAAAAGTAGCCAGTTTGTGTACTGACGTCATCCCTTCCATAACTATTAAGTGCATATCTACCTGGTCCTGTAAGCCTTGTGTTCAATAAGCACTTCATGCTAAACAACTGAGTCCTAACACGCAGTGGGCCATGTGTTACAGCTCTCACCAGGAAACAGTCCCCTGCAGGTGTTTCAAGCAGAAGAGATTTAACATGGGGATTTCTTATAAAGATTCCTGAAGGGGTAATAGAGCAAGAGACCGAAGGCAAGGTTCCTCATCTAATGGTAACTGCGACTTGGTGGTTGACCCCAGCCTGGGCTGGAGGAGCAGAAAGATGGCTCAGATGCTGGAGCACTGTCCAGTAAGGCTGCTAAGGTTGGGGATCCAGGAGCTTGCACTTCCAGCCTTCTCTCCTGCAGCCACTTCCATCTGACCCGTCACTGTTCCTGTAGCCAGTGCTCTGCTGCTGCTGCCAGGGACACTGTCAGAAACCTGAAGCAGCAGGAAGCCACTTCTCCCCTCCCACCTCTCTCTCCCTGCAGGGCTGCCTATGGGACAATGCCGGCAGGACGGCCTCAGAAGTGTGATTTGGGGTCTGACGATACTTACATGACTACATAACATTGCAGAGTACAGAAGATGAAGATGGGACACAGCAATCAAGCAGCACAAATGAGTGAACAGAAGATGCTCACAGTTAAATCTGTCCCCCAAATTCCAGCTGACTAAATTAAAATATTAAGCCCCTGCTATGAGCTGGGACAGGGCTAGGTCCAGGAAAGGCACTGGTGAACACAACAGTCCCTGCTGTATTGGGACTTACAGGGTGGGCACAGACAACCTATGAATACTTCATCTAGAGACGCTATTACATATATCTGACATGTTTTTTTATCTGGGACACATAAAAAACCCTAAAAAGATGACCACCCCATAACTATATGGAGGCAAAAATAATCGCGAAGATCCTTCACAAAAGGGAATAGTCCTGTGCTCAATAAATATGGAAAACTGCTCAACTTTATTAGTCATGGAAATATAACCCAGCAGGCGACTAGAAATGAAAAGACAGGCAATACCAGGATGTGGTGAGGATGTAGGGCAACTGCTGATGAGAGTGTAAATGGGAACAAATACTGGAAAACTGCTGGGCAGCATCTTCAGAATCTAAACACTACCCTCTGACCCTTAGAGTTAGTGCACATGTTCACCAGAAGACGTGTGCAAGAATAGTCATAGGCGCTGTATTCATGAAAGTTCAGCCCCAGAAATAACCCAAATGGACATAGATAAGTGGATGAAGTGGATAAAGGAATGGATAAGTTGTGGCATATTCAGCAACAAGAATGAATGAGCTATTGTCACATGCAACAATGTGGATGAATTTCACAGGATGTTGAACAAAAAAAGTTCATCTCATATGGTTCCATTTATTTGAAGTTCAAGTGTAGACAAAATGAATCTGGTGATAGAAGATTGAATGGCCCTTTGGGGGTACTGACTGGTGATGGGGATGGGTAGTGTTTACATAGGTGTATGTATCTTTAATAATAAAAGTATAATATGCTAATTAAACTGGACAGCCGAACGATCTTCCGGATGTCCTTCCAGACAGACGACCTTCCAGACAAAGCCGGGGCTGCGAGGGCCCAGGCAAGCCACGGCAGCTGCGAGGGCTGAGCCCTTGGCACAGATTCGTGCATCGGGCCTCTAGTATCTGTATAAAAGTTTATCAAGTTGTAAACGTAAGATTTGCATACTTCACACTAGGTTAGTCCTCACAAAAACTGAAAACAGTAAAACCAAAACCAAGAGATTTTAATGTAAATATAAGTTTTAAGAAATTAAAGTGAGTGGACCAGGGGCTAACTGATCAGAACTGAGATGGGAGTGCTAATGAGAAGGGAGCCAACTGAGGGGCTGCTTTCTGGGAGAGGGGAGGCAGGATCAGGCTTGAGCAGGGGGGGAGGGGAGCAGGGCCAAGGCAAGCCCTAAGGTTGATTTTTTTAAGAGCAGTGGGAAACCAGGAAGAATGTGAGGGAGGAGGGTGATGGCAGTATTTTCTGAGCTATGGGGGGGGGGGGGGAGAGGGGGAGGGTAAGGGTAGTAAGATAAAAAAGGACTTTTGGTGACTTTTAATTGTGTGGCTAGGATATCTGAAAGGCGGGGGCAGCTCCCTGGTGAGCAGGGCTGGGAAAGGCAGGGCAGCGAGGGCGTGTGTGGGACATGTTATGTTAAGAGATGCTTATTAGGCACCCGTGATGCTATCAGCAAGGCAGTGGGCCATGGGGCCAGACTTGGGTCCAACACATTATGGGCATTTAGGTGGCATGTCAAGTCCAGGCTTTGATGCCAGCCTGGGCCAGCCCAGCAGAGAGTAAGACAAGGACATTTAATGAGGAGCTTTTCTGGAAGGAGATGAGCGCAGACAGGCGGTTTGGATTGAAACTGCCTAAAAGTGCTTCCCTAACAAGCCCACTCCCAGCCAGGCATCCAGAGCCCGAAAGTGAGCAGAGCCTGCTGCTCAGTGCCGGCGACAGCCCAGGGTGAGTCTCCTCACCCGGCCCTGGGCACTGAGCATAGATTCATGGGCCCAAATACAACCCGCTGAAACAGAGTGCCCAAGACATCTGCATTTCCCAGTTCCCTGGGCGAGTCTTTGTACATGGAGTAGAGTGGGTGGGGTGGGGGAGCTGGGAGAGAGAGGAGGACGAGAGAGGGGAGAGCAGAGAGGGAGAGAGGGAGAGAGGGAGAGGGAGAGAGAAAGAGAGAGAGAGAGAAAGAGAGAGAGAGAGAGAGAGAGAGAGAGAGAGAGAGAGAGAGAGAGAGAGAGAGAGAAAGGGTGCAATTTCCTCTTTCCCCTCCGAGGGTGGAGCTGCTCCAGAATTCAGGAAAGCGGTCTGTTCTGTTAGCTCTGCTGTGTGTGTGTGTGTGTGTGTGTGTGTTGGCATGCATGGGGGGCGGGCACGGTGTCCCAGGAGGACAGAGTTTGCATTGATGAAAACCCTTCCCAGCCCTTTGATACCTCTTTCCCGCCGTCCTGAAGTTAACCAGCTCAGTCCTCGGTGCATCCCGCTCACTGGCCACACTCACTCGGCCCAGGATGGCATTCGGTCTGACCCTGCGCATGGCGCTACTGCTCCTCTTCGGGGTCCTAGCCCCTGCGGTGCTCACAGGTAAGGGTACTCCCTGGCTCTGCTGCCAGAAGTCTCCAGGGCCAAGAATCACCTCGGGCCCGGTTCCCTGGTGCTCAGGGGGCAGACGCCCCGCACAGCAGATGGAGCAGCCTCCGGGGCGAGTCGGCGGAGGCTCCTGTGAAGCAGATGGCCGCAGCTGGGAACTGGTGGCCATGGGACGACGGCCCTGAAGCAGGGCCAGGAACGTTAGCTGCTTGGGGGACAAGGGGATTGCTCCTGTATCTAAAATCTGAAGGCTCCCAGGTGGAGGAGTGAGGAGGGGGCACCAGGCCCGGGGCAAGGAGTGAGGAGGGGGCACCAGGCCCGGGGCAAGGAGTGAGGAGGGGGCACCAGGCCCAGGGCAAGTGGCTGAGAAGCCAGACCCCCCCCTCCGCCCCCTCCCCCCTTCCCGCCCCTGGACAGAAGACCTGGTCCCTGCCGTTTACTTTTCAAACCCTGCATGCCTCTCCCTGCTGGCTTTCTTTTAAGAGTGAAGCCCCAGGAGCTAGTCCCATGTCAGGAAATAGTTCAGGGTTAGTTCATGGCCGGGGACTCCTCAGAAAACTGTGAGGACGTGGGACTTAGGCTCTGCACGGAGGCCAAGATGTCTGGGTCTGGTGTCCAGAGAGGATAGCACGACAGTCTTGGGCGGCAGGCTCTCAGGCCTCAACCCAGGCTAGGCATGGCTGTGGGGCCCCGAGCTGGGCTGGCCCAGGTTGGCCTCAAAGCCTGAAAGGAAAGGCACACCTGGGTTCCGGGTAGTCTTTCTCCTGGAAGAAAGTGATCTCTGCTGGCCACGGCGCGGCCAGAGAGCAGTGTTTCAGAGCCCCGGGTGAGGATCCTGGGGTGGAGACCCTCCCTGCAGCGTGGGCTCTGGGGGAAAGTCCACGGGTCTGTGGGGAGGCACCTGGAGAGCAGGTGAGTGAGCAGGGCCCTGGGGAGAGCCCTGTGGGGACGGCCCCATTCTCAGGCACCCAAGGGGGAGTCCCGAGTGATGGCGAGGAGCCTCAGATGTCTTGGGAAGAACCTAGCAGCCTGGCTTTGATTCCGGTCCCCCCTCATCTGTACAGGGTGACAGCCACGGTGCCTCTGCCTCCCTCACTTTCAGACACCAGCTTTCAGATGGGCCAGGCACCGGGGGTACTTAGTTCCCATCACTGACTGCATAGAAACATCCCCAGCCTTCCACTGGGTGCAGGGTGGTCTCAGGGCAGAAGCACCCCTACACACCTCAGGGGTGGTGGGAAAGGTGCTTGGGGGGGTGACCGAAAGTGCCAGTGGCATCTCCCACGGTCTGATCTTCTTGCAGACTCTATACCCCACCCCAGTGAAGTGCTGCTCCCACGGGCCGGTCCAGGGCCGCCTAGGCGCTCTTGTCCAGGTTCCTGTACTCCATGTAGCCAATGCTGCCGGCCAGAAGCTCTGGGCCACACTGTGCGTCCAGAGCCTGGGTCCTTCACCACAGGAATGCCTCATGTTGAGCGTCACCGGGATCTCGCGTGGCCTCACCTCCTTCCACATGTCCTACCAAGAGGGACAGGCCGACTCCTCTCAGGGTTCTGGCTGGCTGTCCTCCCTCCTGCCATTCTGGGAGGCGTGTACCAGGCCTAGCAGCCCACTGCCCGCTGCTCGCTGGGTGGGGGGTCCTAGAAGGAGCGGCCCGCTGCCCTCCCCACTGGTCGCCTGTGGCCACAGCTACTGGGGCAAGGGGGGCAGGCCAGGTTGAGCGGGCAGGAGGCCAGGGAAGGGATGAAAAGGCCCTTCATGGCCGTACAAAGGCCGTCTGTGAAGCACGGGCGCCTGGCCTCGGGGCCCTGTGGTCAGAGTGAGCACTAAACAAACTTATTTACCGAAAGGCAGGGCGGCCGGGGCGGCGGGGCTGGGGGAGAGCCCACAGTGCCCAGGCCTGTGTCACGAGGCCCCACGCCTCCTGGTTTCCTTGGTCAGAGCATGAAGTCTCAGAGCCTTGTTTACTCCGGTGCTTGCCGTGTGGGCCCTCACATCACCGTGGCTGACTCGCAGCTCTCCCCACAGGCCCCTGGGTTCCCTCGCCGTGCCTTTGCCATGCTGGTCCCCTGCCTGGCATTCCTTTACCCCTGCTCAGACGGGGCTGTTGCTGGCACACTCCTAAGGACTGCTTGGGGGGTGCCAGGTGGGAGTGTGGGTTATTGCCTTTAAACCTTGTTTTCCCCTAATATGACAGCAAACTGAGAAAATTCAGAGGCACAGAGAGGAAGGTGAGAAAGTGAGCTGGCCCTTCCCTGGCAGCTGCATCTCCTTTGCTGGGGGCTTAGTGCAGACTGCCCCTGGGGCTTCCACCTGGGTGGGCAGGGAGCTGGCTAGCCCTGGGGCTCCGCTGCTTTGGCACAGAGGAGCCCTGGAGCAGCTTTGGGGGGTCACCCGAGAGAGTCCGCTGCAGCAGGCAGAGCACACGGAGCGGCCTGGCCTGTGTCCGGCCATGTAACTCGTGCCAGAGGGAGGCATCCTGATGATGACAACGACAGCATAGTTACTGTGTGGCTGTGGAGGCACAGTCCAGCCCTGCTCCTCAGGTCGGGAGAGTGAAGCGGATAGTGAAGTCAGCCCGGTCCCTGGGGGAGGGCATGAAGGGGGCAGGGTTTGGAAGCTCCTGGAGCCTCAGGGACTCCTAGGCTTAGCTCCTGGAGCCTTTAGGGACTCGTTGGTCTTGGCGAAGAGGCTGGAGCAGGACGAGGCAGCCTGAGCCAGTGTGTCCGACAGGGAGGAGCCAGCCTCTGTGGGGAGCAGCAGAGTGAGGCTGGCCACTGGGGAGAAAGGGAGAGGTTCTGGGTGCACAGCCCAGCCCAGCCGCCCTGCTCAGGGGGCCCACTCTTCCCAGAGATGGCTCCTAGGCTCTGGCAAAGGGTAGGGGTGGCTAGCTCCAGGGAGTAAGCCATAGGGCCTGCACTCCTTCTGAGCTCAGAGTTGGTTCCCCTGATGCCACCCAGGTTGGCTGGGCCAGGTACCCAGGAGCCCTGTGGTGGCATCCTTGGCCCAGCGGTCAGAGGCGAGCTTCGGCCAGCAGCGGTGGGACAGGGCGGTGCCTGCCTGCCGCCCTGTCTGTGGGGAGCTAGTGGGAGCCAGTGGTTTCTCCATTTATCTGGGGAGACAGACATTTTTCAAGCCCTAGACCTCAGTGTCTGCCAAGCAGTGGGCACTCTCAGGCCTTTTCTCTGCCTGCCCCCAGGAGCCTGGGTCAGCATGCCTGGAGCCTGGAGCCACCTGGCGCCTGGGACCTTTCCTGGCAGCTTCAAGGCTATAGGCCCCTGACCTTCCAGACAGGGACAAAGGAGGCCTGACAGGGTCGCTTTGTCCCCCTCACAGGGATAACGTCACAGTTGGTGGGGCCAGAGTGGCCCCAGACCCAGTGCTGTAGGTGAGCCTTGGGCCCTGCTTGTTGCCACACCAATGGGTGCTGGGGCCTTTTGTCCCCGGAGGCCTCCCTGCCAGGGGCATTTCCTGAAAAGGGGCACCAGCTTGGGTAAGCGTTGGGGAGTGGGACAGTTGGTTCCTGCTTGCAATCTAAGCCCCTGAACTGAATCCAAGCTCCTGGGTCTGGGAGGGGCTGCAGGGGCAGGGCTGGGGGGGCCTTATACAATTTTATTGGGAGAAGACTTTAAGTTTACAGAAAAGTTGCGAGAATAATCCAATGACCAATATACTCTGCACTTAGATTCACCAGTTTCCAACATTTTGCCATATTTGCTCTTCCTGTCTCTCTCTACCCACCTGCCTATCTGTCTAGATGCTGAACCATTTCAGAGTTAAGTTGCAGACATGCCCCTTTGCAAGGGCCTGATGCGATGGGGGCCAGACATGGTGGGGAACTCCCTTTCCGTGTCCTGCACGGAAAGAGAGATGAACGAACCGGTTCTAAGTGGAGGTGGCCAGGGATTGAGAAATATTAGAAATAAAGAGAGAAGACACAGAGATTTTAAGCTGGGAGCTGGGTGGGATGCCAGCCTGTCTGCTGGAGAGGCAGGAAGAAGACAAGGACCAGGATGACAACAACCCCTCCCAGTGCATTTATTTTATACCCCCAATACCAGGAAGTATCACCAACTTATTTGCATTCTTAAAGTAGGCCCTAGCATGCCTGGATTTACATATCTAGTCCCGCCCCTGCCGACACCTGGGCTGATATGAAGGCCAAGCTGACAACTTGTCCACCATCTTGGGGAAACATGTTTCCAAGGTGAGGCTCTGTCTACGCCTTGAGTTCAGCTAACGATAATTAAGGAAAATTGCCCATGTGCCTTCCCAGGCGGCCCTCTACACCCCTTTGTGCCTAAATATGCCCAAGAGCAAAGGGATTCTCTCACTTGTCCATATGGAGAAATGAACACAGATGCAGTGCTGATATCTAAACCACCGCCTTACTCAGATTTCACCAAGGGACCCGAGCTGTCCTTTATAGCAGCCCTCTGCCCCATCCGGAACATACACTGCATTTAGCTGTCACCTGTCCTTGGTTTCTAATCTGGACAATGCCTCAATCTTCCTTTGTCTTTCATGACCTTGACATTTTTGAAAACCCAGTTATGTTATAACTGACTCCAAATGTGGGCTCGGTTGATGCTTCCTTACGAATTGCCCCAGGTGGGCACTGTTGGCGGGAAAGGCCCGGAACTAGCCTGCATCTTCCCAGAGCATCCCTGGGTCGGTCAGGATCAGGATGGCGGGAGCCTGGAGCCCGCCTGCCAACCTGGTCTTGCACTTTCCTGGGTGGCTGGGGCCGCCTGTTCAGGAAGGATGGATGGGCCCAGGAATGGGTGGGGCTGTGGGGCTCCTCACCAAGATCCTTGGGCGGAGGGTGGTGGGTATCGGCATGAACCGCCTGGGGCCGAGCTAGGGTATAAGGCTGGTGTTATCACACAGACCTCTCAGCCTTGTCCCTTCAGTTCTTTGGGGCCCATGGGTACCCGAACCCTTGCTAACCCCCACCCATCTATACTAATAAAAGGGTAATATGCTAATTAGTCCAGGAGACTGGACATCTTCCTACAGTCTGACTTCCTTCTGGACAAAGCCATGGTGGTGGGGGCCAAGGCAGAGGCAGTTGGGAGTCATGAGGCCAGCAGGGGAGGGTAGTTGGGGGCCATCAAGCCAGAAGGGGAGTGGTTAGACAGCAATCAAGCCGGTAGGCAGGCAAGGGGTTAGGAGCTAACAGTCCCGGATTGCAAGAGGGATGTCTGACTGTAGGACATTCCCCAAGGGGTCCTGGATTGGAGAGGGTGCAGGCTGGGCTGAGGGACCCCTTCCCTCCCTCCCATTTCCTCCTCCCTCTACCCCCCTCCCCCCCGTATAAATTTCATGCACCAGGCCTCTAGTGAGCAAAGACAGGCTCCTGCAGAAAGGGCTGCCCAGACTCTGAGGTGCTTATTGAGTCTCAGCTTGTATGGGGCAGGGGGACACCACCCTTTCCTGGGGTTTCCCTTACAGACCACCACCTGTTCTGTCTGCAGACAGTAATGTGCTGGGCTTAGTTCCTTGGGGTAGAGAGGCCCCTTGGGCTTTGAGTCTCAGACACATGTGGGCATATGTGGGTGCCGGGCCCCATGTGCTGTGGGCTACATGGCTTCACCCAGGTGAGGGCCAAGGAGCAGCAGGGCTCTCCGTTGCCTTGCCTGTGACATGGGAGGGCTGGAGTCGTGCTGAGCCCCAGGCCCCCGAGGACAGTGCCACCTCCCCGTGGGGAGACATTCCTGGAGGCAGCCTGGGCCCAGCGCCTGTTCTTGGCCTTGCAGCCGAGGGCCCGCAGGAGCCCGTGCCCACCCTGTGGAACGAGCCGGCCGACCTGCCCTCGGGAGAAGGCCCCGTGGAGGGCACCAGCCCTGCCCTGGAGCCCGCAGCCACAGGCGCCCCGGCCCCCACCGCCCTGGCCAGCCCGGAGGACAGCACCGCGCGGGAGCACCTGGACCCCAGCGGCGGCGGTAGGAGGCGGCCCAGGCTGCGGAGGGGGCCCGGGAGGGAGGGACTGAGGGGAACAGGGAGGGAGGGACGCAGAGGGCCTGGGACGGAGGGGAAGGCGGGGAGACAGAGGCGGCGGCCGGGCTGACCCTCCTTCTTCCTGCAGGCTCGCTGGGGCCCGGCGCCATCGCGGCCATCGTCATCGCCGCGCTGCTGGCCACCTGCGTGGTGCTGGCGCTCGTGGTCGTGGCGCTGAGGAAGTTTTCCGCCTCCTGAAGCGAATAAAGGGGCCTCGGTCCTGCGGGCGCGCCCGTGTCCTCCGTGTGTCCCAGTGTGCGTGTGTGGCGGGCGGGCGGGGGCGACCTGAGACACGCGCCCGCGTGCAAGCGGAGCGGAGCGGGGTGCACCCTCCCGGCCGCCCCAGCAAGTGGGAGGCCAGGCGGGGGAGGGCGGCCATCACGGGGACGCCTAGTCTACCCCAAGGAGCTCCAGGAGCTGGAAGGGCCGAGAAGTAAAGCCCAGGCGCTGTCAGTCTGGCCTGGCCTGGCCCCCCACCCTCAGCCCCAGATGGCCCCCAGGCGAGCTTCACCGCAGCCTAGGGCCTCCAGGCGCCCCACCTCCTTTCCCCTCCTCCCCAGCTGGGCCCTGGCTCTCCGACCTTGCTCATGCTCTGTCCCCGCGCTCCCCAGGAAGCCCAGCGTTTATGATTTGGAGAGAGATTGTAAATACTGGCAGACCAGCCCTGGGCGCAGCAGGGAAGCCAGAACTGTGACCTGCCCCTGCTCCGGCCCCCAGGGGCCTTGGGGAGTGAGGAGACCCGGAGGAGAGACTGCAGACACCCTGGGCCCTGGGTGGTCCCCAGCAGGTGCTGGTGGCAGGGAGCTGTTCCTCCTCTTCCCACCGTTTTCTCTTCAAGTATCGGGCCTCTTCGGTTTCCCTGATCTCCTGGCCACACCTGTTCCTGGGTACTTACTCCAAAGGAGCTCACGAGGTCCCCACACACACTCTCCCCAAAACACTTCATGGCTAACAAGTTTCTGCTTATAAGGCTGTTATGAAACAGACCAGTTTTCATGAAACTTTACATCACATAACCTCCGGTGGCCAAAGCCCTCCTTAGAGCAGAGGATCCAAGTCAGCACGCGGCTTCCCAGCTTCAAAAAGAGCTGGACAAGGGCCAGGACCACTGGAAGACTCCACCACTCCTTATCTCCCCCGGCCCCCCCCCCCCCCCCCCAGCAGCATGGGGCTCAGAAACCGCCCCTCTTACCCTTCCCTCAGTCCTAGGGCCTCAGGTGTGGCTCCCGGACCAGGCGTGCAGCACAGAGCGTCAGTCCCTCCCCAGGTGAACAAATGTGTTACAAGCGTGTGCGTCCTTCAGGATTCACGCAATTCTCAAAGGACCTGAGGTCTCAAACGCAGAGTCATGCCCGAGGGAAGAAGCCACAAAGTCCCACTGGACCAAAGCCTTCGGCTTCTAATCAAGGGCCTGTTCTGGTGCAGAGGGAAGTGAGTCCTGGCAGGAAGAGCACGGTCCTAGGTGAGGGCTGGGTGGAGTCAGATTCAGGCCGGTCCACACTCCAGGACCGAACCAGGGGTGATGGTGGGGTGACTGTGGGGCCAGCTGGGCTGCTGGAGGAGCTGCAGCCTCTGGTGGGAAGAAGTGCCCAAGGCCACGGACTGGCCGGGTGGGAAGCCCCAGCCCTGTGCCTGGTGTCAGATTCCCTGTGGGACTGCCACACAACACCTCAGGCCACTACGGTCTCCAGACCCATGTTCTCACTTAACTGCAGCAGAAGGGCGCCTCCCGATCCCTCAAACGTCCTTTCCTGTTTCTGGAGTTCTTGAACAAGTGGAGGGAGGCCCTTCCCCTGGCCGCTCCCTTCTCCACTAGAGGCCTCCTGAGCCCCCTCCTTCAGGGTATACCTCCTCCACGGACCTTGAAGCGGGCACCTCTCTCCCTGCCCAACACTGACCACCTCATTCCTGTGTGCAGCAGGGAAATAAAGAGAACGTCACCTCCTTTATTTTATACATGATGCTTCTTTTAATGCAGCCAAAACATGGTATTTGCTTTTCTTAGGACCACAACTGATCAGGATGCAGTGACTAGTTTATTTCTTATAATACCTGGGCTCCTTAAGGGGCCAGAAGACACGTTACATCCAGCCCATCAGGGAGCCAGAGGGGGCCTGGGGCCTCTGCCACGCGCTGGTAGGCCTGCCACGAGGCAGGGTCTGGCCGTGCAGCCGGAGGCCGGAAAAGGCTGAGGAGGCAGTTGGTCTCTTAGTCTTGTAAATTGGGGACCAGGGGCCGCTCATCAAGCTCATCAGGCAAGGGCAGCCCATCTGCATGCCTGGCGGATTCTAATGGCTTCCAGGGCCGAGAGGGCACGTGCAGGGGTTCTTTGCACCTGCCCTGGGCCAGGGACACCCAGGGTCTGGGGCTTCTTCCAGGGGGCAGGCCCCTGGAGCATGCCAGTCCCCATCCACCCCCTCTCAGAGACAAGAGGGAGAGGAGGTGTAATACTGTTTAAAATACATTTCTCATTTACAAATGCATCAGAGGAGAGACGTGGGCGCCGTTTTTCCAGTTTGCAAGCAGGGGGCTGAGACATGTGGCAGGGGTGAGGGGCCAGGGTGACTCCTGCACAAGGTCACCTCCCTCCAGAGCCCCTCCACGGCCAGTGCGTCTGCCCACCAGGCCCAGCTCCCACCTGCGTGCCCACATCCCCCTGCTGGCCCCGGGGGCTGGGAGAGGGGTGTCACTGCCGGTTTCGGCTGCCTAGCCTCCTGCGGTCCTTATTCTGACTGCGCTGAGGGTCGTCCATCTTGTGCACCCGGAAACATTCCTTGAGGTTTTGGGACCGAATCTTGGGATTCAAGATCTCCTCAGTCATGTTGCTGGGGAACCAGCCTCTCTCCTGGTCGTGCAGACGCTCACCGAAGATCCACCCTGCACGGGGGGCACGAGGAGGGTCAGGAGCTCCCGCAGGGGCCTGGCTGAGCCCTCCTGCTGGCACAGGAGTCCAGTGGGCCTTCCCAGAGGAGCCTGCTCCAAGAGCCCCTGCCGGAGACCGCAGATTGGGTTTGTCCCCCATAGTCTGGGGCGGACACCCTCCTAGGGAGCATGGTATGTGGGTACCGCTGTGACGGAACCAGCTAGCTCTGTGCCACCGTGCGTCCCAAACATATTGCCTTTGGAGCCCACTCCCAAGCACTCAGTCACCCTAAGCTGTCCCACATGAGGTCGGGGGTCCCCAAGGGTTTTCCCCATAGCAAGAGGCATCCCAGGGGCCGGTGGGGGTGATGACCGGCTGGTGGTTACCGGGCCCGGAATGTCACATCGCCCTCTTGCTGGACATCCCTCTCTGAGACTCCCGAGGGTCGGGTGGTCAGCAGAAGGTGGCTGTCAGGAACTGGCCAACCCCAGGGCCCTGGCTCTCCCCCTCCCCCAGAAATAACCTGCAGTGCGGGGTTCCTGGCAGGTCCCAGTGCGGGGCCTGGCGCCACCCTCTGCAGGCCACGTGGGGAGGCTGTTGGGCTGTTTTATGCTGGGGGAGCAGCGGAGGGGAACACTGCTCTTTCGATGACGGGGAGGCCCTGGCGTGTGGGACCAGCAGAAACAGCCTCCCCTGGAGGTCACCAGCCCGAGGCCTTCTAGCCAGGACCTCCAAGGGGAGGAGTTGGGGAGGGGTCGTTTTGGGGGTTCTGATGAAGAATACCTGATGTCGCAATAGGCATCAGTTTTTGAGGGGAGGGGCGTGAACCTCATTTGATACTAAGGCAAGGTGACCAGACGTCCCGATTTTTAAAACGCCGAGGGACGCGGAACAAATTGTTAAAAAGCAGGACTGTCTCACCAAAAGCGGGACGTCTGGTCACCTTATACTAAGGCCATTGACTGGGCTGGGCGGGTGGCTTCTTGGCCCACACACGGCTCTGAGCCTGGTGGTCGGGGCTCACCTGGAAGCTTGTGGCAACTACGGAGCTTAGAGTCAGGGTCACAGGTGGGGTGAGGGTGGTGGGCCCAGCCCAGGGCCATCGAGGGAAGGCGCGGCACGGGTGCTCAGGCTGGGCCTGGTGTGAGGGGGAGGTGGGCCTTGTAGGTTGGGGGAGGACAGCAGAGACCCTGGGAGCAGCACCTTCTCTGGGCTGAGGAAAAGCTGGGGAAGCCAGGACGGGCAGAGCGGTCTAGGGGAGCAGAGACGTGCCAGCTTCTCCCCCTGGGGCCGAGCCTCATCCTCGGCTGGTGCCCGTGGGGGCAGAGTCCGGGGTGCCTGAGTGAGCGCCACGCCCGGCCCCTGCCTTACCGTCTTCCGTCTTGTCCAGGATGTTTAGGATGTCCGCCAGCTCCAGTGTCAGCTCGTCTGGCTGCTGGGCCACGTACGGGTGCACGCACTGGACCTGGGGGCAGTCTGGAGGGAGGGAGGGAGGGAGGTGGCACATCCTCCTCATCCACTACCGCCCTGCCCCCACCCAGCCGCCCTGGGCACGGCCCAGCAGCTCGTAGGGACGTGCTTCCTGTCTCGCAGCAACTGGAGAGAGGTCATTTGAGGGAGGGGGCTTGGCTCCAAAGAAAATGAGAGGACAGTGGCTGGGCCTCGGGTAAAACATCACACCCGTGAAGGGAGGGACAGGCAGGGAGGCTCCTGTTCGAGGCTTCAGAAGGACTTCTTGAACCCGGACGAGGTCCTGCGAGCACGTGTGGGATGCCCAGGACACAGTGGACACTGTCAGGGCAGCGGCTAGCGGGCAGCTGGGCTGGTGCCCTTTTACATTTTGTATGGTTTCCAGACGACTGGCAACCCCCAAAGAACACTGGCGTCTGCCTTCTGGGCCCAGACTCCTCATGGTTTCCCAGGGGTCAGCGCACTGATATCCCCCACTGGGCGCTAAGCCAGCAGCTGGCACTTGGGACCATCGCCAGTCAAAGCGGGCATCCTGGAGACCGCGCAGGCCTCTGGGGACATGGGCTCGGAAGCACCTGGGGCTGATGCCACGGAGGCCCCTCCTGTCCTGCCCAGCGGTGCCCTGGTCCCAGGGGCCCCTTACCCAGCAGCCGGGACGTGAAGGAAACAAACTTCGTCCTTCGGTTGGGGGCCAAAGAGGTCATCCAGCGCTTCATCTCACTCCTGGGACAGGGAAGAGGACAGATGCTCCAACCGCAGAGCCATGGCCCCACAGAGGTGTGGCTTCGAGCGTCCGGCAAGCCCGCGCCTCAGTCCCGAGCGTGGCCCAGGGCTCCAGCGGGACGGGTGCCCAGAAACCAGCCAGAGGCTGGGGGGCCTGACAGAACCTCCCCCGTGTGCTTTACAAGGTCAGCTGGCGAAGGTGAGCCCTGTGCAAACCCCCAAGTTCACGCATGGAAGTGCGCTCGGCGGGGTCAGCTGCCCGGAGGCCATGACCTGTCAGCAGTGTCCGCCGGGGGGGGACTGGAGTAAAGAAGGTGAAGGGATTCTCCCAAAGGGGAGGGGGTAGGTGGAGGTGGGCAAAGGAGCGGGGGATGGAAAGAGACTGCTTGGGGTGGTGGGAGCATGATGCCGTGTGCAGAGGATGTTTTGTTGAATTGTGCACTGGAGACCTGTATGGTTTTGCAAACCCATGTCATCCCAACAAATGTTATAAAAAGTGTCAGCTGGAGAAGGTCAATGTCATGCGGTGGGGACTGGTCTTAGATGGACTGGGTGGCGCCTGTAATTCTGGGTGAGAGGGTGTCTCCCCACATGGATCGCAGCTGTGCCTCTCAGAGCCCTGGGCTGCCTGGCTGCTCAGAGGGTGATGAGATGGGCCTCAGGCCACACAGCAACGTCTGCCTGGCCCAAGGGTTCTAGAACATCTCATTGGAAAAGAGGGCCCGCCCCCATCTGAGTCCCTGAGGGAACACACGTGTGTATACACACACACACACACACACACACACACACACACACACGCACGCAGGCACGCACACGCACGCACGCACACACAGCAATGTGCTACACCTGACTAACCCGGGACAGAAACGCTCACCGCAGGTCTGGGATGGGAGGAACAGGAACTGGGCGGGCTGAGTGCAGAGCCCTGGAGCAGGCTCCACCTGGGACGGGGACACGAGGGGGCGGTGGCCGGGCACTCACTGAGAGGACGCCTTCAGCATGTAGGTGGCCTCCCGGTCGTCGGCGTTCTCCAGCAGCCGCAGAATGAACACGTTGGCCAGCGTCTGGCCCTGGTCCTCCAGCTCCTCCACGCGGAGCAGGCCTCGAGGGGCCGAGTCAAACACCTGGTACCTGTCTCTGGGGGCAAGGGTGGCAGGCGGGCATGTGGGCCCGAGGAAGCCTAGAGGTCCCAGGGGACTCCTCACCCTGGCCCCCAGGAGGACCAGCCCCCTCCCCCACCGCCACTCCTCACCCCCATCTCCGGGGGGGGCCCCGCCGGAACTCCTGTCCGCTCCCCCTCCCCTCCTCACTGGCCCCCCCGCCCCGCGCCCAAACCGCCCCTCCCATGATGTGGCTGGGGGACTGACACCACTCAGCTGCTCTGCTGAGCACTCACTGTGTGTCAGGCGCTGAGCTGGCCTCTCCACATCCCTAAAAGCTCATTCAACCGGAGGGGGATCTGAGCCAGGAGTTTTACATTAACTTGCCCAAAGGCCCAAGGCTCGACAAGAACGGAGCTGACTTAACCCTGACTGAAAGCCTGAGCTCCATGCACATCCTCCGGCCTCCCTGTGTGCCCTCCCTGGGCTGCCCCCCACAGCTCACCCCACCCCGGGGCCAGCAGTGCCCGGTGCTCACCCAGGGATCTGCCGGCAGATGACCAGCAGGTCGTTGAAGAGGAAGAGGTAAATTTCCTGGAAGAGCTTCTTGGTCCGCAGGGTGCGGGAGGTCTTGGGGCCTGACATCTGCTGCAGCTCGCCCTGCTTCAGCAGCCAGCGCGAGTGGGAGATGATGGGCACCGACTGGGAAGCGGGGGGGGGGGGGGGGGGGGGGGGATGTCAGGCGGTGGTGCCCAAGCCTGCCCGAGGCTCCCCCGGGGCCCTCACTGGAGCAGTGAGCACAAGGAACGGTGTGCAAGGGCTGTGCTGGGCCCAGAGCACACGCAGTGCCCGTGGAAGGAAGGGGCGAGTCCTAGGCAAACGTGGAGGGTGTGTGTGTGTGTGTGTGTCCATGTACGCATGTACAGCTGTGCCTGTGTGTGCAATTGTGAGTTATCTGTTGCATACGTATCTGTGCATGCATATGTATGTGTTAGTGTCTAAGTGTATCTACGTGTAACTCCTGGCTGAGGCTGGTGAGGGGATCACACACACACAGTTCCTCACATGAACACCTATGTGTGTGTGTGTGTGTGTGTGTGTGTGTGTGTGTGATCCCCTCGCCAGCCTCAGCCGGTGTGATGCAGAATCAGAGCAGGGGCCAAGTTCGGAGAGAGAGGAGAGAGCTGGGTTGTGTGAGGTCCCCGCTTCGTGGCTCAGGGGCAGGCTCCTGGCCCCTGGCCCAGTCTGGCAGGTGAGATATGTAGGGGTCCGCAAGGCCATGTCTGCACCTCGACTGGGGCTCAGCCCCCAAACCCAGCATGACCTCAGGGGCCCTCGGTGGGCACTACATGTTCATGTGTCCCCAGCACCCAAATGCAGGCCCGAGGTTCACTGATGCCTGAATCCTTATGCAAAGTTGGAGAGAAGGTAGGTAACTTCCCTTGGAATTTCCAATCTTCCAGCTCTAAGAATCCCTGGCAGCTCCCTTTCAGGTACTTGGTGTAAACACACAGTATATGAGAGCAGGTGGCTGCAAGCTCCTTGCCCACCGTCTCTCAGAAGGACGTCTGGTCACCTTAGTCTAGGCCCAAGTGGTGGCCTGGCCACAAGGGGGCTGAGGAGTGCCCTCCAGTCAGGGGCTCAGAGTCAGATTCTGAGAGGTGACCCTGCACTGAGGCCCGGGGGTGGCCATTTGAGGATTCTGGTCAGCGATCCAGGCTCCAGACCAACTGGGCTGGATGGGGACACACAGATGGGTGAGGGCTCACCTTGATCTTAAACTCCATCTTCTTCTGAATGCTGATCATCTGCTCCGTGCGGCTCATTTTCCTGACGCCCTCGTTGCATGCTTTTACCACCTGGGACGAAAAGCAGGACACATCAGGCCCCCTGCAGCCTGCTGTCCCCGGCCACTTCCTGCTGCCCCCTCAGGCCGCAGAGGGTCAGACAGTGCGCCTCAGCTGGGACTGAGCGGCCCGACTCAGTCAGGCTGGAGCCCCCTGCTCTAACATCTTCTGGGACAAAGGCAACTTGTCAAGCTGTTAGAAAGCAAATTTAAACAATAAGATGTCCTTAGTCTAAGGTGACCAGACGTCCCGCTTTTGGCGGGACAGTCCCAATTTTTAATAATTTGTCCTGCCAAAGGCAGGACGTCTGGTCACCTTACCTTAGTCACTTATCAGACTGGAAAAGACGAGACTCCAGGACGGCGAGGTGTGGGGGCCGAGCCCTGTCACACACTGTGGGGGAGTGAGGGTCCCCCCTCCTTCCCAGGAGGCATTCTAGGCACAAAGAGGTCTAACAACTGCATTTCCTGGGACTTCTGGGGACCCGTTACGGAGAAACAATATTCTGCCCTGGGTCACGGGAGTCCAGAACAGAGCCCGGCGCCCAGCAGGCGCTCAGGATTTGTGAGTGAGGACGGTGCCCAAGGTGTGTGGACCTGCAGGTGAATGAGGAAAACCATCATTGACCTGAATATCCACCAGCTGGAATTGATTAGCACTAACATCTCCGTATTACCGAGTTCTCCCAAATCATTAAAAATTGCAGTAACTTTACAAATGCGCTAAAGTGGAGAGCAATGCTGGCTTGTACGACCCAATCCCTTTTTTGCGAAGAACACAATCGTGCGGCCGAAACCGGTTTGGCTCAGTGGATAGAGCGTTGGCTGCGGACTGAAGGGTCCCAGGTTCGATTCCAGTCAAGGGCGTGCACCTTGGTTGTGGGCACATCCCCGGTAGGGAGTGTGCAGGAGGCAGCTGATCGATGATTCTCTCTCATCGATGTTTCTAACTCTCTATCCCTCTCTCTTCCTCTCTGTGAAAAATCAATAAAATATATTTTTAAAAAAGAAAAAGAACACAATCATGTGTGCACGTGCTTTGTGGAAAGAGGTCTGGAAGGGTGGGCACCAGTGTCAGCAGTGGGTGTGGGATAGCTGGCGTGGTCTTTACCTTCCTCTTGCTTTCGAGCACTGTCTGAAACGTTTTATATCGAGCATCAACTGCTTTTATACATTAGACAAAAACCTTGGTTAAAAAAAAAAAGTAGTTTATGAGAAATAGGAGTATAACTTGCGTTACAAGGACAAGGGAGAGGACAGCAGAAAGGAACTTGGGCAGTAGAACGTGGTGTCTGAGGCCTCCCACAGGCCTCGGTGGTCCCTGGACTCCTCTCCTGTGACCCAGGGCGGCCAGCTGCCTGTGGGGGCTGATCAGGTACGAACGCTCAGGGGTGAGCAGAGGGGCCTGAAGGATGCCGCCTGACCCACAGGTCATTGCCTCTCCAACCCGCCTGCTCAAGGCCCCCACCTTTCCCCACTCGGAGAGAGTACTGTTCTCTGATAAGCAAAGGGGGCAACTGCCAGAGGATTTGTGGGGCCAACTGGTCTGAAAAAGCACATACGGAGAGTTGGGAGAAACGGAAGCGTAGTACCCTCCGTCTTGCATTAAAAACAAACACCTGCTGTTTGAATTCTCTGCTGCTGTTAGATGGCCCCTAGTCCTGTAAACTCGGTCATTATAAACGGCGTCACTTTAAGACAGTCTGTCATTCTGTAAAATGACTTTTGTTTTGTAGTTCAAATAATAGAAAAAGATAAACTTAACTGCCCGATTAATTTAACCTTGCAAGCTAGCCATCCAATGTAATAGACTAATACTGATAATTAGGCCAAGTACAAACTCATTATGTATTCAAGGTTACAACTGTCTGTAACAATAACTCACACAGAGCCCTTTGGAATATCTGCGAACAGAGAGGCTCGAAAAGTATAACTACGGAAAACTTCCTGTATGGTTTGCTCAGAGATTTGGGAAAAGACACAATAAACAACTCCTAATTGATGGGCTCGTTAAGGTGTTGTATCTCATCCGCTGATTTACGAAACAACGAAACCACTGCATTAAGGTCCAAAGCCCTGGTGGCTCACGGTGGCTTGGAACCACCATCAGCCGCTCCCCGAGACTCTTCCTTTGACGGAGCTGCTGTCTCTGGTACAAGGAGTGGAAAGGACTTCCCAGCACCCATGCTTATCCCCGGCGGGGTCTCCGCATGACAGAGTGGCCACCCCGGCTCCACACAGCTGCCAAGAACTGGCCCACGGCTCTAGCAGACACACCCGAGACAGCGGTTCAGACAAGAGGGAGCCACAGGAGCCCAGCTGGAGAGACCGAGCGTCAGAGAGACCGGCACGTTCATGGGCTCCTCCGGCACAAGCCCTGCTCTGCGGGCAGCTGCCGGGAGGAAGTGCTCTCTCCAGGGTCAGGAGCACAGATGGCTTCTCCACTCCCGGGCTTGGCAGGGCCCCTGAGTCCTCTCACAGAGTGAGGGCAGCTGCAGCTGGAGGGGCAGGGAAGCCGTGGAGGCAGGGGCTCAGGAGAGCCAGACCAGCCTCTGAGAGTCACAGGAGCAAAGACACGGGAAATAGGCAAGGACAAGCGTGAGGTTTCTCAGGGCCCAGACGCCTGCACAAGGGAGCTGCCGAAGCGCCCTAGGCCTGTGGGTGGCGCAGAGATCGGCATGGGGAGAGTGCCGGGCAGGCAGCTGCCGAGGCCGCCCCGCACATCATCAACAATCGGGGCGGAGAAGGAAGACAGCGTACTCTCTGAAAAGGGCACACCTGACCCAGGGACTCTTAAGGATTCCAAATACTAAAATGAATATGCATCTTCCAAAGACACACCGGCATGTGAGGGAGCAGGAGCAGGAGGGGCGGATGTGGACGAGGAAGCAATTTATTGGGAAAAACAGAGAGAACGCAAGCTCACCTGTTCCAGCTCTTTGTGGGCGTCCAAGGCAGTGCATTCCCGCTCAGATCTCTCCTCCACTCTCTTCAGGATGTTCTGAGCACAGGAGAGTCAGCATGAATTCTCATAATGGTCATTCCTCCCCTGTCTGCCCCGCCCTCCCTTTGCAGTGGCGGCCGCACTGCTGCACCAGTCCGCACAGCCTCTTGTTGCTGTGACATCCATGAACAAACAACCCTTTCGGGTGACAACAGAGGGCAGAACCCTCAGCGGGACCGGGGGCCGAGCATCCTGACTCAAAGCCTTACCTGGCTCTAACCTGGTAACCACGAGTCAGCCTCCTATGAAGATTAACCCTGAGAGCCAATCCAGAACCTGACACCTCCCTGCACAGCAAACGTCAATGCAAAGGAGGTGACCACGTGCTGGTGGGGAGGCAGGTGCTGGCGGGAGGGACTGGAGGTGATGTAGACCCGAGGGGAGCTCCCTGCTCGAGGCAACTCCCCTCCCCTTCCTCTGGGATTTGAAGCCAAGTCACAATAACCCCAAAGCTTTGTTAACTTTGGTCTTATTGGTCAAAACGTCCGTTTTCTAATCGTTAAATTTTCTTGAATTATCGCAAAAATGCTCACATTGCCTTTACCTATAGATCACAATTTTTGCTCTGCTCTCCAAACGCTGCATGGCTGCTGCCTCACAGTCCTGTGTCTATACTTTGTGACCAGCTCGGTCCCCTGGGGAGGTTTGGGTGTGTCTGAGCACAGTCCTCTGCCCTCTGTCCTGTGCAATGACTGTCTGAACATTGCTGCTGACCACTTCGTTCCTTACAGACACCTGAACGGTAGGTAGCAGGCCTTCACGATGCCCAGCCTCTCTGAGGCCAGGCCAGACCCAAGCCTTGCTGCCTCTGACGCCCCTCAGCCACCCCACCATGGCCTCCTCTGTGTGGTCACCTGCCCAGCTCTGTCTGCAGCCAAGCCAGAGCCTGCAGTCATTGCAAATGCTTCCTTGCTCCCTCACCAACATGGGGCCACCAAGCTTGGCATTAATGGTCCCCCTGTGCCCAAATCAGCATGGCTCAGGCTCCAGCTTTCCCTCTGGAATAAAACTCCCTCCCTGCATGTGGCCTCAAACCGAGGATGGGGCAGCTTCTCAGCCAGGTGCCCGGGATCTTCACACTACTTCCTCTCCCTTCCTTCCTGGGCACGGTGTGTCCCAGTGCTGGGTCTCCGGGTCCCTCTCTGACCTTCCTTGATGGTCTCCCTAATAAATGCCATCTCCGTGCTGAGAGTTCCAGCCCCTTTGACTCTAAACTTGAATATTCAACTGCTCAAAGTCATCTCAAGCTCAGCTATTTCAACCCTGAACCTGGGCTGCTCCCCAGCCTGTCTCCCCCACCTTCGGAAGCTTCTCCAACTAGAGAATTCTTCTCTTCCTCCTACTCCTCAGAAGCAAGTCCCAAGCTCAGCTCACTCACTTCCCTCCAGGACCCTTCCACTCTTCACCTTCCAGCCACGCCAGTCGTGGCATCCTACTTTTTAAAGTTGCTTCCTAACCCTTTCTCCCCTTTCACTCTTGCCCTCCTGCCCGTCGCTCCCCTCAGGGTGGCCTCTGTGTGCTCTTACAGATGTCAGCCAGGCCAGGTGAATCCCTCTCACACCGAGCACAGAACCCCATGTTCTATCCGGCCTCTTAGAGCCCCCTGCCTCCATCTCCACACTCACTCCCGCCATATTCCCCCAGCTCCTCACCAGCCTTCCTGTCTGTGTACCTGGCTGCCCCAGGGCCTTTGCATAAGCTGTTCTATCACTTGGATGGCTCCTGCCAGTCAGCCATCTCTCAGCTTACATGTCACTCATCCGGGATTCTTTCCTGACCCCCCAATTGGCAGTGGCCCGGAAGGCACCCACGTATGTCACCCACTTTCACTGTCCTCACAGCCATGACCACTTCCTGGCTGTGTGTGTGCTGATCTCTCCTTCCCAAGCTACTTGGAAGAGGTGAGCCCCCCGCTGCTTGGCACACAGTAGGCGTTTAATTAGGATTGGTGGAACAGACTCCCTAGAAAGCCGGCGGAGACCTGACTGCCCGAAGGAAACAGGTGTGCAGCGGAAGTATACACAAGCCCCGCCCGCCTGCCTGCCGGGTGGGAGAGGCGGTACCTGCACCAACAGCTTGAGGCGTGTGATCCTCTGGAAAGGCAGGATGAGGAAGGAGGAGAGGGGCAGCCCCCTGCACTTGGGGTCGAGCTCCAGCTGCGCAATCAGCTCCCGGAAGGCCGCCTTCTCCTGGCTGGGGGCACAGACATGGGAGTAAGCCTCTGGCTCCCCACCCACAGCCTCAGAGGTACCGGACAGCCCAGGGGCTCCCAACGCCCATTGCTTGATTGACTGATTTATTTTCATGTAAAGTAGCGGCTTCACATGCCTGGCCCAAGGAGACTTGGCCGAATATGCTGCGTGTGGGAGGACAAGTCTATGAGTCAGAGGCACAGCTGATGGTTTGCCCAGCAGGAACCCTTGGCGAGGTAAACCCACGTAGTGACAGGAAGAGGCAGCAGCTGGAGGCAACCGCCAGGAGCCTGCCCTCTTCCTGCCAGGCGGAGGCTCCTCATCTGCAGATGGACTCAGCCTGGGGCCCGGAAGCTGCCGCTGGAGTTAGACACGGGCCCTCACATCAGCAGGGACACGGGGCCTCTGCCTGGGGCTCAGCCCAGACAGTCTGCTCTTGCAGCCATGCCAGTGCACCCATGGGCGCTGTGATACCTGGATTCCTGTCTTCTCACGTCAGTTCTCAAAGCTGGCTTCTGAGTCCCTCCAATCGCAAACATAAAACACTCCCCCTCCCTGAACACTCCAGCTTTAAAACATCCACAGGGGATGACAGGGTTTGACAGGCCCAGGGAAGTAAGTGTGGCAATCACATGTCACTACTTGGGAAATTCTTGCATGCCCCATCTAAGAACACATCCCTGGTTACACTGCCGTGAAGCCCAACATAGAAATGCAAAGGACTTAAAAGAGGCAAGTTGAGCCCTAGCTGGTTTGGCTCAGTGGGTAGAGCGTCGGCCTGCAGACTGAAGAATCCTGGATTCAATTCCCAATCAGAGCACCTGCCCAGTTTGCAGGCTTGATCCCCAGTGCAGGGTGTGCAGGAGGCGGCCGATCAATGATTCTCATTATTGATGTTCCCACCTCTTTCTCCCTCTCCCTTCCTATTTGAAATCAATAATATATATATATATATATATATATATATATATATATATATATATATATATATTTAAAGGCAAGTTGACTGAAAAAATATCTTGTCAACTGAAATCCCAAGAAAGTTTCCTAAGTGGGTAGATTAGCAAGAAATTCAAAGGCATTGCTGGGTAGCTACCAATGAGACTTCCTACTGCCTATCCTTGTTTTGTCTCTAGTTCATCTCGCTTTCCTGCCATTCTGGCCTCAAGCTGTCCTCTTGGCCTCAAACTCCCTCTTCTACACCTGAGCTCTGCACAGCTGACCATCTCAAGATCAATATTTCTCGAGAGACATGGAAACCCCTCCCCTTCCCGAACACACCAGGCATGGGTACTCTCCCGGGAAAGCCAAGGTCCAAGGGCCAGGGCTCCGTGTCCCCGTGAAGCATGGCCCGTGGCCGTGCACTCACAGCAGCTGCTTGTAGGTCCTCTCCTGGTAGGTCTGGTTGCTGACGTAGGTGATGTAGACCGAGAAGTGGTTGGCTGCGTAATGGTGCACGATGTCACACACGTCCGAGATGACAATGTTCTCCTCCATCCGGCGCTCCAGCTCCAGGAGGAACCTGCAGAAGGCAGCGGTGGGGTTAAGGGCGCCTGGGTGGAAACTGAAAACACACCTTCGCCATTAGGTCTTCCCCGGACAAACCAACAAACACGATGAGATGAGATTCCAATGCTGGTGGCATAGCTGATCACATCAAGGAATTACTGTCTAGTTTTTTAGGTGGAAATAGCATTAGGACTACAGTATTATTCAGAGAGAGAGAAAGAGAGAGGGGGGGGAACCTTATCTTTAAGATGAAATGAAATGATGAGAAGGATTTCTATCAGTCCAGCTGGCATTGATCAGTGGTTGAATGTTGACCTATGAAACCAGGAGGTCATAGTTCGATTCCCAGTCAAGGCACATGCCTGGGTTGTGTGGGGTGTGCAGGAGGCAGCCAATCAACGATCCTCTCTCATCATTGATGTTTCTATCTCTCCCTCTCCCTTTCTCTATGAAAGCAATTAAAAAAATATTTTTTTTAAGGATTTGTATCAGATCACATGGGTGTCAGGCAGGGGTGGGGACATGCTGAATCTAGATGCTGAAATGTGGACTCGCTACACTGGTGTCTCTATCCTGCATGTTTGGAATCTTTCCTAATAAAATATAAAGAAATGCATAAATAAAAAGACCCTTCTCCTTCCAGTGAAGATGAAGCAGCTGAGGCCGAGGGCATCTCACAGCTGCTCGGGCCAAGGGCTCTTGGCCTTCCCAGCCCAGTGCAAATGGAAAGGCGAGGCATCAGTGCTGGGCAGGGACCTGCTCGGGGTCACCGGGAACCAGCAGCTCTGCCACACCGGATTTCACACCTGGACGTTCGGGTTGGACCACATGATCCAAAGCCGAGTTCTGCACTTTCCTCTGTAAAACTCCATGGCCTGCAGTGAAAATGGTAAGTGGTTCTTTTATCCTAGCAATAGGATTGGGGTTCATTCTTCTTTGCAGAAATCAGTTGGTAGGTAGATGCCTGCTCCTCCCCCCTAAGCATGTCCTATCCTTCCTAGGGGCTGAGATATAATCACAGTTCTACGAAACACTGGCATGGGTGAGGTGGAGGCGCTAACCGAGGGCTGCGCTCCACATGGCTCCGAGGGTCTAACCCCACAGGCACCAGGCAGGGGTTATGACTCTGTCAGGATAAAGAACAGCTTACACGGACACCCTGACCCGCCAGGACACCACCGCACACCCTCCTGACTGTGGGATGCACAGACACTTGTGCTCATGGAAGGACCTACAGCCACAGTCCAGGGGGACGTGATTGACTGCCTGCTAGGAGGGAGGCGGATCTTTGGATTAAATGATTTATTCCTGTCCTATCATAGAAAATTCCAAGCCTACAGAAGTAGAGAAGCCCAGGTAAGGAGCACTGGCCACTTGCTCCAGCTGCCCCCGGTGAGAGGGCAGGGTGCTCACCGTTGGCTGACGGCCATGACATCCAGGACGTTGGAGAAGAGGATGTGTGCCTCGGACGGGTGCAGGATCTTCTTCAGCCGCTCGTTCTCCATGAAGTGGGACACGAGCAGGTTCAGGCTTTTGTAGTAGGAGGCCTCAGAGGTGACCAGCTCGAACATGGCCTTCATCAGGGACACAGGGAGGAGGAAACAAGAGACAGTGGTGGGATTCAGTAAGGAAAAAACACCAATCACCAAAATTGGTTTGGCTCAGTAGATAGAGCGTGGGCCTGTGGACTGAAAGGTCCTGGGTTCAATTCTGGTCAAGGGCATGTACCTTGGTTGTGGGCACATCCCCAGTAGGGGGTGTGCAGGAGGCAGCTGATGATTCTCTCTAATTGATGTTTCTAACTCTCTATCCCTCTCTCTTCCTCTCTGTAAAAAATCAATAAAAGCATATTTAGCCGAAACTGGTTTGGCTCAATGGATAGAGCGTGGGCCTGCGGACTGAAAGGTCCCAGGTTCGATTCCAGTCAAGGGCATGTACCTTGGTTGTGGGCACATCCCCAATAGGGGGTGTACAAGAGGCAGCTGATCGATGATTCTCTCTCATCGATGTTTCTAACTCTCTATCCCTCTCTCTTCCTCTCTGTAAAAAAAAAAAAAATCAATAAAATATATTTTAAAAAACATATTTAAAAAAAAAGAAAAAATACCAATCAACCAACCAGTCAACAAACCAACAAACATCTATACATATAAAAGGCTAATATGATAAGTGTCCAACCAGTTGCTATGACATGCACTGACCACCAGGGGGCAAACACTCAACACAGGAGCTGCTGTGAAGTGCACTGGCCATTTACAGAGAAACGGCACCATGGACCTGGCACTGACAAAGCAACACTTGGCTTCCTCTAAGTGGGACACAGGCCCTGCCACCATCCCGGAGCAACACCTCACTAAATCGCAGCTGACATTGCTGAGGCCCCATGGCACAAAATGCAGCCCACAGCCCAGCCCAGCCCGGAAATGGTTGCTGTGGGTGCTGGGCAATGATGTCCCTAGCAACGCCCACTTCCTCTCCCTAGCGACTAGTCTCCTTGGTGTTTCTTCAGTCCAGAAACACAACTTGCTTTATAGCCAGGTGGAAATATTTTACACTTTAACCAGGTGACTGTGAAGCATTTTTCTGTGCCTCATCTCATTTGATTCTCACAGAAGTCCTGGAGTAGGTAGATAGGAGACTCAATGGAATCCTATTTTCTTTTCATTAGCCCGAAAAGCAGAGATTTAGAAAGCTTAGAAACTTGATCCCACCAAAAAGAAGTAAGAAATGGTGGACCTTAAAAATGACTGCAGGTTTTCTCACTGTACAGAATATGTTAAAACACTGCTGCAGTTAAATATTTTACCCTTTGTTTTCCCTGTGTGATCTACAATAATAATCTGCTTTGTGTTGATATTTACTGCTGTGTTGCTCACAATTACCTGAAAGAGAAGTTGGGTGTTTCACTGGGCTGAAAAAAGTTTAGCCAAATCAGAAAGCAGATCTAATTAAGCATATATATATATATATATATATATATATATATATGGCTCTCGCTGGGGCCAATTGCATGCGTATGTTTCTGTCATTGTTGATTGTGAATTTGTTGACAGTTCTATTATAGATAAAGGGCAAATACCGATATTAAAATATTTTGTTTTCTAATTAATTTCCTTTCAATGTGCAAGAATTCGAGCACGGGGCCTCTAGTATCTATATAAAACACATCGGCACAGATAGCCAGAGGGAGAGGGGGTGAGGGGTAGGTAGGAGGTGGGCAAAGGAGGGGAAAGTGGGGCTGGAAAGAGACTGCTTTGGGCAATGGGCTCACAATGCAGTGTAAAGAGGAGTTTACTGAGTTGTACACTTGAAACCTGTATGGTTTTGTGAACCAATGCCACTCCAATAAACTCAACTTTTAAAAAAGAGGAGACAGTGGTTACCACTGCAGACGCGCCCTCAGGAGAGTGCCCACCTGGTTTTCAGACAGAAACCCAGGGGCTTGGCCAGGGTCTCCAAAGGGGAAATGAGTGCTGATGCCCAGGGCCTCTGGAGGGAGGTGGGAAAGTCAGCCTCTGCCATCATCCAGGGGCGGCCACCAATCACAGACCCTGAGCCACCAGCAGCGGTGGGAGCCGTCCCCACCCCCCAGGTCCATGGCTTCTGCTGCCGACCTGAGACAGTGACAGTGAGAAGAGGCGCTGAAGTGGGCCCTGGCCACAGAGGACACAACACGCAGGCTGCACTGACCAAAGAGCTGCAGGCCCAGCACTGAGCGAGGACCCACCCAGCCTCCGCTCTGCCAGCATCTGCCCAGGGCCCAGCCCATGTCTCACTCCCACAAGCCCTGCCTGGCAAGATTGAGACTAGAGGGGCTAAGCCTGAATCATGGCTAACTGGTATCGGCTGAGCCCATTTCCCACAACACTCACCCCCTCTTTCTCTGTTTATAGGCGATTAGTCATCTGGAATTTGTTTTCCCGGGTGTTTTGTCTTCATTTTATATGTCAAAGTATTTGCCACATCAATAAAGTTGTTTTTTCCTTATCAGTATTATTTTTATTCTCAGTCATTCAAGACTTTTCATGGCAGCATGGAGCTGAAAGGGATCCAGGCCCTGCTCTTTCTTCATTCATTCATTCATTCACTCACTCACTCACTCGTTCATTCATTTATTGGACAAACATTTACTGAGCACGACTGGGGTAGGTGCCGACATTCAGTGGTGAACACCACAAACTCCCTGCGGCCATGAAGCTGGCACCCCAGGGGAGGGGCTGGGCAGAGAGGAGGACCAGGCACCGGGGCAGGAGGAGAGCAGGAAGAGGGTGTGTGTGTGAGAGTGATGTGTGTCGCCTGCTACAGGGAAGCCCTCCTGGATGAAACAGGCACTTACGACCCAGCCCCAGGGCCCTCTGTCCCCACCATCAGGCTCACAGCTCTCTGCGGGGCTCACGCAGGATGGCTGTCTCCAGGAGCCCCATGAACACTCAGCTAGGCTGACCTGAATTTTATGAATCATGGCTGGGTCACCCAGGGGTGCTCTTAGCACCCGACTATCCCATTGGATGTCTGCCAGTCATCACATCACTCCTGGTACGTCCCACCCCTGTGGGGGCAGAGCCCACTCCCGTGTGGCGTTTTGAGAAGGGGAGGTCCTCAGTGTTACTGGGCCACAGGTCAACGCGGCCATTTCCTCAGAGGGGTCATCCAGGTCATTTGCCGTCAGCAAGCGCTGTGGCGGGCCTGGTGTCCCCCAGGGGCCTCAGAGCAGCAGAGTGTCCAAGGCCTTGGCCTTGCCGTCGGCCAGACCTCTGCTGTGAGCGGGAATCGCTTCACCCGCTGAGCCCCAGTTCCCAGCAGGAAGTGCTCAGCCTGGAGCAGGCCCATCTCAAAGCACCTGCAGAGCTGTCGGGTCACTATGGGTCCAACCTCAGGGCGTTGCCTTCATAGGACCACGCTCCATGGATGGTGCCCCAGCCAGGGAGGGCCTGGCCCAGGACGTGGCATTGGGGCTACGTCCCACCTTCAGCAAGAAGGCCCATTCCAGGGGAGGCTTGAGGGCTCCAGGAGGAGGTGGCGAGTGAGTGGCGGGGCTGGCCCCAGGCCCCTGGAAGGTGTCAAGTGGGGAACAACAGTCTGCCGGGAACATGTTGCATAACATGTTGAGCCCGTGCCCTCTGTGGCGTGGGCCAGAGACACAGCCTGTGCCCACAGGGCCGCCGGGGCTGCTGCCTGGGCTCTGAAGCCATGCCCACACCCCACAGGCCTACCCTGCCACACTCAGGAGGCACTAGAACATATTTTTTTCAGTAAATTTAGATTTCCCTCCAAAGGAAGAAAACAGCACACCAGAGAAATCACTGGCGCTCAGCTGCAGGGTGAGCTTCAGGCAGGAGGCGTCTCCCTCCTCGGGGACGGCAGACCCGGCTGGCACCACAGCAGCTGCCCGGAGACACCCACAGGTGTGCAGAGCCAGGATTCCACTCCCCCTCTGCCAACACACACACACACACACACACACACACACACACACATACACACACCCGGCAGCACAGCACTGGGGTCCGCCTGGGGTTCAGAGGCCTCAGGCAGCCTCAGGACTGGAGTGGCCTAGAGCTCATCTACCTGGACCACCCGTTGGAGCAAAGAGCTCTCAGCCTACCAGCAAGGGGGATGACAGAGGGAGCAGGGATGCTGAGACCACCTGGAGGAAAATAACCTGCTTCTGACCCAGGAGGGCCGACTACCAGCCCCAAAGCAGAGCCCTGGTCCTTAGGAACGCAGGTGACTGACCCAGAATTGTCTGTGAGCTGACACAGTTTGGCCGTGTTGTATTTCCCCGTGGGCCCGGCTGTCACATGGGGACAACTACCTCCTGGCATTGCTGTGGGACTAGGGATCGCATGTTAAATGTAAGCCACACATGAAAGCATTGGGGTGCCCGGTGCATGCCACACACCACCAGCAGTCCAAACCCAAGCCTTAGCAAGCTCCCACAGCTGAGCACCAATTGCTATGTTTGCTCAAGGTGATCTGTTAATGAGTCACAAAAAAGTACATAGTAAAAAAGTTTCAGTTTTAAAAGACACAGGTGTGCACCGCAGCAGACGTGCGAGTTAAAAGCACAGCGAGGTACCATCGGGGACTTGGCACAGTGGTCAGGAAAAACTCCCTGGAGGGCAGAATAGGGGGAGCCAGCACCTCACACGGCTAAAGTGTGAAGGCAAGTTGTCTGTATCTCCTCAAAATTTTAAAAACATGTAATCTTTAAACCAACAATTCCCCCTAGCATTCCCCACGGTATAGGTCTCAGCATTTTATTACTACAAATAATGCTGCAACGAATACTTATTGTAGTTGTCCAGCAACATCGTAAACCATGGTTCCTCATAAAGCTTCCAAGAGAGAGACAGAGGAGACGGAGGAGGAGGAGGAAGGGAGAGAAAAAAGAGTGGGGTTCTCGACTCAGACTGACACGGAAAGATTTAGAACAGCGTCCATAGTATTTCAGCGCATGCGCGCTCGGGCCCTGACCAGGCTGGGGGTGGGGAGACTCCCCTTCACTCTAAATGTTTGCTCTTTTTGAACCTTATATCAGTGCATCAAATACCCAAAGGCTTCAACCTTTAAAACGACAAATGCTAACACTGTCACTTTGTTAAATTGTTATATTGTCTCTGCCTGGAAGTCATAGGCGCTTGCTTCCTGGTGAAACCCAACAGGCGCTCTCTGGGGTTCGGAGCGATGGCTACTGTCCACCTTAAGTTAAGGTGCCAACACCCCTGTTCCCTCCCGATGTGGATTAATTCGCTGACTTGTCCCGAAGAGACAAATACATGATTCAGTGAGGGTTGCTAAATAAAATAACAATCACAATTTAATTTTTGATGAAAATTCTCAGTAACTTCCTTCTAACCAGGATAGTTTTCTTTTGGAAAATAAGAAAAAGAAAATAGATTTAAGTTCTACGCTGTGAAAATAAGTTGACAAGCAATGGAAATGCAGCCCTGATGTCAGAGGCTGCGGGAACAGAGGGTGAGTTGTACCCTAACTGGCCAGCTCCCCTGGGAGACCCAGGGGCACCCCGTGCAGGTCTCCTCCCTTCCGGCTCCCAGCGGGGCGAAGCTGGAAGTCTGGGCCTGTTGGGGCTGTGCTGCCACACTGCCAGCTGGGCAGGACACCCTGCGTGAGTGTATGTGTGTCCCTGTTTCCTTGGAGACGCTCAAAATATTCCCTACTCATTTTTCAAAACCTACACACCCGGCTCCCCAGACCAGGGCAGTGGCGAGCCGTCCAGGGGGCATGAAGATGCACCTCGAATGAGAATGCCTATCTGAACTGAACCCGACAGGCAACTGGGACCGGGAAAGATGTGGCCGAAGGAGTACCGTGCAGCCCGAGCCCTGGCCTCCCACTTTGGAAACTACCTCGAAACAACCTATGATACGAGCTACAACAACAAAATGCCACTTTCAACCCACAAATTTAAGTGAGAGCCTCGCTGGTTCCCAGGACATCAGCCTGAGCTGGTCCTCCTTGATACAAATGCACAGGACAGACCACGTAGACGAGCAGGCATTCAAAACTCCATGTGTGTTACACCCACCCATGTCAGGGTCTCGGACCCCAAGGAAGAATCAGATGCTTCATTTTTCCCGGGTAGAATACAGTTGGTTGTGCACATTCTAAGCACAACCAACAAGTCTCTCTCTGTCCCTCCCTCTCCCTCCCAATCTCTAAAAATCAATGGGAAAATATCCTTGGGTGAGGATTAACAAAATAATAATAATAATAATAATAATAATAAATTAAATTAAATTAAAAAAATAAAGTGATGCGTTTGACAATACAAAAGGATTCATCGTCCCCTGTGGTAACTTTCCTTGCCCTGAATTCTATGCTGTCTGGTAACACAGCGGGTTCAGTTTTCCAACCTTGTCCTCCAGGGTCGGAGTTAAGCAATCCGCAGTTATTGTACGTCACGCCTTGGCCATGAACTCTGCTTCCTTATCTTGTGCTGTTTGGTTTTGTGCTTCTCCCCTGTTTGCTTTCCTTTATTGCAAGGGCCCTGCTTCCTCTACATTTAACTTCACTCATGTGGTGAAAGGTTTATATCCTTTTTTAAGTTCTACTAGGATTTATCTCTAAACTTTCCAAAATATTAAAAACCTTCTTGAATTATCAAGGTAAAAAAAGACTCACTTCCCCTCCCCTACACACAACCGGTCTCTTTCCCTGGCTCTGAGGATCAAAAGGGGAGAAAAAGGCCCCAGGGTGGTAATATCGAGTGAAAGAAACCAAAAGCAAAATTGTGTGATATAATTCCTTCAACCCGGAAGTCACGGACAGCGGCCTGCCTGTGGCTGACGTAGCCCTGGGGTCTCCTGTGGAGGAGGGACAGCCACATGGAGGGGCTTCCTCCGTGTCTCCCCACACCTTCCACCAGGTTGCTTCCGTGGTCAAAGCGTGGTGGGCTCTCCTCTGTCCAGCCTCCCCCCTCCCCCCTCAGCGGAATGCCTCTGATGACCAGATGTCATTCACATCAGAAGGTGCATATAGCCGAAGCCGGTTTGGCTCAGTGGTAGAGCATCGGTCCGCGGACTGAAGGGTCCCAGGTTCGATTCCAGTCAAGGGCATGTACATTCGTTGCGGCACATCCCCAGTAGGGGGTGTGCAAGAGGCAGCTGGTCGATGTTTCTCTCTCATCGACATTTCTAGCTCTCTATCTCTGTCCCTTCCTCTCTGTAAAAAAATCAATAAAATATATTAATAAAAAAAAAAAAAAAAGAAGGTGCATATAGCTGAAACCGGTTTGGCTCAGTGGTAGAGCGTCGGTCTGCGGACTGAAAGGTCCCCCAGGTTTGATTCAGGTCAAGGGCATGTACATTGGTTGTGAGCACATCCCTGGTGGGGAGTGTGCAAGAGGTGGCTGGTCGATATTTTTCTCTCATAGACGTTTCTAACTCTCTCTCCCTCTCCCTTCCTCTCTGTAAAAAGTCAATAAAATATATATATATATATTTTAAAAAGGTGCATATAAAACTCTCGATGTAGCCATTTTCAAACCACTGCTAACGGCCCCAGGAATGTCAGAGTTTAAAAAATTTTTTCCTGATAGTGCCCTACGGAATGCAGCTTCCTCCAGCTCTCCCAGGGAGCCGAGCGGGAGCACAGGGGCTGAGTGAGCAGCCCTGGGCAGGAAGAGTCTCAGTCCTGGTCACTAACTGTGCGCCTAGTTTGTAGCTCTGCTTTTAAATAAATGAGAAGAGCAAACATGTCTGCAGAATCTGGCATAAGAGTAAGTAACGGGTCAGAGAAGGCAGAAGGTATGGTGTCAGGACTGCAACCAACAACCAACACAAACGGGTTCAAGTGCAGCTTCAAGGAGTAGGTGAGTGCAAGGGGCAGAGGAGGGTGGGGGGTCAGGGCAGCCCAAGAGGGATGCAAGAGAATAGATAGGATGGGGTTTAGATTGAACCAGTGGGAAAACCCAATCTCTTCTTTTTTCCCCCCTTTGTACCCACTTTTTAAATTTCACAACGGACACACACTTGCACACTCACCATTTCTCTCACCCATTGTCTCACCAATAAGTCTCTCTCTTTGCTATTGACCACACCCCATACTCTTGTCTCCCTATTCCACAGACTTTTCCCCTTTATACCAAACTACCTTTGTGCAACTAAAGGGAACACTTACATTTCTTAGCTACTCCTTACCGTTACGCTCATTTGTAACTGATTATTTCTGCCTGGTGGCCTCAAACCAGGAGGCACCTCAGCGATACCTCAGCCTAATGCATGATGGGCAGTCTGCCTGGACCATCCAATGAGGGGACAGAGAAGTAAGTGCCATTTCAAGAGCGAGAGGGAGGGCATGCTAGGGCTTCCTTTCAGAGCCTCCCCACCCGAGGTTCAAGCAACAGCACAGTCAAGTAGTAGGCTCAGGCTGAGTGAGAAGCCAAGCGCCAACGGAAGTGATTTCACAGTCGCAGTTTGCTCCGCACCACAGGTGCCAGGAAACTCCCAACAATAACCAGCGGGTTTAAAGAATGCAATCTTGCGATGTAATGAAATCACTGTGCTGAGAACACTCGGTGTTGGGATTGAGCTATCCTACAAGGTAACGAGCTGTTTTTTTGTTGCCTGTGAAATAAGGGAATTTTCCTGCATGTTCTGGGTAGGTAAACCCTGCCAGGACTTCTCAGGGTGAGCCTGCTGGGCAGCCTCACGGCGCATGGGTTAAAACACCCCCCTGCCCCCCACCCCACCCCAGGCGCCCTCACCTCCTGCAGTTTAACCTCTTCCGGCTGGAGGATGTCCAGCACCCCGCTGCTCTGGATCTCGGGGAGGTCCTGCCAGAGATTGAACCTGGAGTGCGGGTTGCTGAGCAGGCAGATCTGGGGCAGAGCCCTCCGCTCAGGTGGGCTTGCCAGCTCCTCCGGCTCCTCCTCCTCCTCCTCCTCCTCAGGCGCCTCCTCGCTGGATGGGGAGCGGAGGTCATCAGCTTGTATTTCTGCATCCTGTTGTCTCCTGGTTTCAATTTCCTGGAGAGTTGATTTGTCTCGGTATTCCTGATATAGGAGCCCTGAAATCGATAGAATTGGAATGAAGAGCAGAAAAATATTTCAGATGAAGATCTTTCTGAGTCACTAAGGCAAGGCTTTGTCTTCTCCTCAGGGCCAGGGCCCCAGGAATACGCCAAGACAGACCCTGGGCCAACTACCGCCAGGCCTTCTCTCCCCGGGAAGGATCAGCCCTTGTGAGTTTGTTTCAAAGAAGGCTAAAGAAACCCCTGAACTGATTTAAAATCCAATCACACAAATATGTGCTTTCCCCACACATGATCCCTGCTGGGAACCCTGCTTGGCAAACTAGAATCCACAACATGATGTGTTAATAGCCAACGTGTGCAGGGAGGATGGAAATGCCCCAATTACGCTTCAATATCCCCACAGGATGCTTTCAAGACCTTAAACGCTTCCATATTAAAACTCGAGCTCGCTCATTTGTGAACTGGGAGCAGTTGTCAGTTCTCATTTTGAAGGAAAAAAACATTTTACCATCCTTAGGATTCAAGGGGGAAACATCCCTTTTTTGCTCTTGCAATTTCAGACTCACTTCCCTGACAAACTGCACTTGAAGAAACTGCATTCTGAGTCTCCAAGGAGACTTGAGGGGGCCTGTGAATCAGCACAGAGGTAGCACCTCCTCCACAGGGAGAAACCATTTCAGACATCCTGGCTTCGGGGCGGGGTTGTCTCCTCACTCAGGGGCGGCAGGAAGCTTCTGCAGTAAAGGGGTCCCAGCTCAGGGAGAGAGGAAGCTGGGTGGGGCGGGTGCGCGGGAATGTGAGGCTGGGGGCAGGGCATCAAACTCCAAGGGTCTTGTCCGCCTGCCATACCCCAGAGGTGGCAGTCTATCCTCTGGGCAAGAGAGAGGCCCCAAGAGACCCCGAGCAAGCAGCTCTGGTCTGTTTTAGGAGGCCCGATGGGAAGAGGCTGAGGTGGTTCTGCAGGAGTGATGATGGAGGCAGGCCTGAGCTGTCGTGGGTGGAGGATGGAGCCCACCTGTCGGGGCACACTGATAAAGTGGAGGACGTGTTCTGGGCTGCTGGGTCACGAATGATGTCCAGGTTTTCAGACTGGCAACAAGGTCGATTGGCCCCATTCAAAGAGATGAGGGACACAGGACGGTCTGGCCAAGGAAGGGGATGGTGGAGGGATCCAGTGGGCAGCTGAGGGGCACCTAGGTGGAGAGGTCCAGTGAGCAGCTGGACATACTGGTTTTGTAATATGTCTATTCACAAAACAAAGATGATTCTCCCAGGAAAGTTCTGATAGGATAAATGAACCACTTCTACAACACTGACTCTTATAATGCAATACAAACATTGCCTATTATCCTTCTTTTTCATAAAAAAATACTTTTATTGATTTCAGATAGAAACACCATTGATGAGAGAGAATCATTGGTTGGCTGCCTCCTGCACACCCCACACTGGGAATTAAGCCCACAACCTGGGCATGTGCCCTGACTGGGAATTGTACCCTGACATCCAGGATCACAGGTCAACATTCAACCACTGAGCCACGCCAGCCGAGCTAAATCCATTCTTTGGATTAAACTACTTGGCTTTCTATGCCGCATGACACTAAATGATAAAGCCTTTATGCAAAGTGTAGAATTTGTTTTAAAAAATTAAGATCCTGTGATTGTACAAGGATACATTCCAGCAGAATACAACATGGAGTTAATCTGACAAAGGAATGAAAAAGAAAACCTAGTCTACCCTGAATGCAATCTGGACTGAAGATCTATAAAGACAGAGGTTTAATGTCACCACGTAAACTGGTTCAGTCGTGAGCACAACATCTCTATTGTTGTCAACAGTAAACCAATTATTCTGTGACTCTGACACTGAGTTTATGGAGGTTAAAGAAACTAGGTTCCCACAGTTGACTTGGAGTCACTTTCCAATGCTTAGCACAGTACCTACCCCACATAGTAGGTACATACTTATTTGTTGAATTGAACACCATTTAAAAATGCAGTTCCAAGCTTTGCAAAAATGCTTAATTGTCATCCTTTTGAAAGTTCAAAAAAACATACCATGTACACTACAGTCATGGGGAAAAAAATGAGTAAAAAATCATGGGTTAAAAACTATCTCCAGCCCAACTGGTGTGGCTCAGCAGTTGAGTGTCTACCTATGAACAAAGAGGTCACAGTTTGAGTCCTGGTCAGGGCACAGCTGGAGGGTGTGCAGGAGACATCAGATCAATGATTCTCACCACTGATGTCTCTATCTCCATCTCTTTTCCTCTCTGAAATGAATAAAAAATATATATCCAATATCATATGCTAAGAAGAAGAAGAAAGAGGAGGAGGAGGAGAAGGAGGAAAAGGAGGAGGAGGAGAAGAGCAGCAGCAGCAATATTAGCAGGGTGAGTAGTTGGATTGAAAACAATATTTCTGAAATCATATTGTGGCAGACACCATTGGCTGCCTCTCCCCAATCTCCTCACACCCCTTCTTCCCAGCTGACAGGGGAGGCGTTTGAGTGCTGACCCATTCTGTGCTCAGGGAAGAGAGTGAATGTTGACTGATCAAAACTTTCTGTGGTAGTTCCACCCCCTTGCCAGTGGAGGGTTTACAAATGACACAATCTGGTTGAGGAGAGTAAGGGGGACAGCTTCTTAAAGAGATGTCCCTCCCCAGCAGGCACTTGAAGACAGACTGCCCCTTTTTGCTTTTATACATGGCTGCTTGAGGATGTAATATCTGGAGCTGTGACATGAATTAACCAACTGCCGAACATCCTACCCCTGGACTCATTAACTGAGATAGAATACTTACATTGTTTAAAATTATTTTATTTTATTTTATTTTGCTGGCTATTCTGCTACTTTCAACCAAAGATTTCCAATACAAGTAAGTGCTTTTAGAATATTCTTAAAATGTCATATTTTTGTAGTATTTAAATATGTATTTAAAAATCAATTTTCCTAGAGTTACTGTGATTACACCGTGTCCCCATTTTTCATATCCTGTTTATTTCTTATTTTTAGCTTTAAAATTCAATTACAATAGAGAGTACTATTATTGATTAAATTTCTGTGCTCAATGTACTGTTAATATATGATGTTTTCCTACTTTATATTTTGTACATTTAGCAAGCACAACTTTACATGGAAATTAATTTTACCTGTAAAACCCTGCACCTGACATTCTATCCATGCAGAATTAGAAGGCTCCGCTCCCATCTCTCCTCATTAAAATGATGTATACCTAGCTGGCTCTGCTGCCCTACACATGAGGACAGGTTCCCAGCTCTTCTTCAAAGTCATTCAAAACCTCACTTTCTGAACAGAATAACTTTGTTCCTTGAATCCTTCAAATGGAAACATCTAAGGGACAGAGAGTCTTTTATTTTTTTTTACTGAGCACCTTCTATATGCCAAGCATTTACTAGGTATCATAAACAACAGTAATGCATGCACATACATGTATACACACACACACACACACACACACACACACAATCTCAGAGTCACAGGGCCCACCATCTGTAATGATGGTTGCATACCATATCATGCATAATCCTGTCATAATTCTGTCCTGGCCTCCATGGGAGCCACTGCAAAATCCAATAGTGTGGTCTGCAAAGTGCCCACATAGTCATTCCACCTTCCCCCCGCCCCTCAATTACACTGTGTGTTTAGGAATCTGTTGTCATCTCCTGATCCCTGGCAAAGAATTCACTTCATTCACAGGGCTATCCGCAGGTAGGCTGGTGTAGGCTCCGTAAGGGACAATGTGAGAAGGCAGCAACAGCTCTGTGCTGACACTCAACACAGCTGTTGAGCACCTACTATGGACCTAGCCCAGGAGCCAGAAAAAGACAGTTACCATGCCAGTCTCTGCTGTTTGGCACACGAGGAAACTGGGGGCAAAGAGGGGTAGGCGCCACCGCTCAAGGCCCCTGACTCCCAGCTTCAGGTCTATGCATTGGCTCAGCAGGTCCAGCTGTCTCCAGGAGAGGAGTCTCTACATGCCCGTGGCACAGACAGGAGCCTCCCAGCCCCACCTGAGGTGCTTCTTAGTCATGGCATCGAGCTTAGCCTTTTGAGAGGGTAGAAGTCTAGGCTTCCAGCCTCTGCCAGGGCAGAGGTGGCCCTCCCCATTAGGAAGGACAGTGTGGCAGGAGGGGGGAGAGAGGCGTTTTCAGGAGTCTGTTCTCAGATCAGGCCCTCTCCATTCCGCCAGCAAACAAAGGGAAAAGCAAGCCGCCGCCACCACCATCCCACCGGGCCTGACACTCAGGGGGCCCGCTGGAAACAAAATTTCTGGAGTCAGCAGCTTCTCAGCGTGCAGTGCGCGCTCCACCCCCTCAGCTTTGCAAGGGCTCAGCGCCTCGCAGGGCTCAGTTTGGAAAAACCCCAGCCAGCCAAGAGTGGGCCGCCCCCAAAGTCTCCCAAACGCAGGGTCCTCTGGGGCCACGGATGCTCCACTTCCACTCGGGACACCTCCTGCCTGCCTGAGCATTTGGGACAAAAGGCAACGATGATGTTTAGGGAGCACATTTTCCAAACCTAGGATTTCAATTGAACAAATAGACTGCTGCTCTGACGACACTGAAAAACAAGGCTTACTAAGCAGCCGGTACCATTTTCTGAATAAGGGAACCCACATGGTGAGAACTAGTTTGATATTATTAGCATTTGTTCACTTTGAAATGCAAGGGCTCACGTGCATGGGACTCCTCAATCCACTTTCTGCATCCACAGGGCTTCAGCTGCAGCTGTGCTGTGCTGGACATAAACGGCCGCACCCCTACCTCTCCGCCACAGTCCTGGACAGGCCGGTGGAACTACGCTGCCTTAACCCAGGGGCTGGGAGGGGGGTTCCCATTTTCTCTCTACTTCACCTGTCCCTGTGCAGTCTGCCATTGCCCCCTCTTCCTGGATTGCAGCGGTGAGCCTGGCTCTCCCCAGAGCCCACCCCCCCCCTTTTTTTTTTTTTTTTGCAGATTCTCTCTCTTTCCAGGTCTTCCCCAGACTTCATCCTGGGCTCTCCCCCTCCCCCCTCCCCCCTCCTGGGGGGTCTTTCCCACAGAAGTGACAAGGGCTTGGGCGGGTAGACCTCTCCAGAGAGAGCAGGACAGAAATGCATTTGCTAAAGCCCAGTTATGCAGCATCATTAAAATGGGGCAGTTCTGCCTATAGAACAATTTAGAATCAAACACGTTCAAACGTTCGCTAGGCCCAGCCGGCACGGTTCAGTGGTTGAGCATCCACCTAAGAACCAGGAGGTCATGGTTCAGTTTCTCGACAGGGGACATGCCTGGGTTGTGAGCTGCATCCCTAGTGTGGGGCGAGCAGGGGGCAGCCAATCAATGAATCTCTCTCATCACTGATCTTTCTCTCTCCTCACTCTCTCTCTCCCCCTTCATTTCTGAAATCAATAAAAACATATTCAAAACCACCACAACAAAAACGTTCCCTAGCCTCCTCACAGAAACGCAAGGGTGTCCCAGTAGCAAGGGGGCCCTCAGAGTCCACCAGGAGCCCCCATTTGCCCCGTGAAGCGCGGCCACCGCTCAGAGCACCCACCTATTTGTTCGATGAGGTTCCTCCAGGAGTCGGCGGGAATGGGGTGGATCCTCTGCAGGGCCTCGGTGAGGGTGGTGGGGCTGTCGGCCAGAGCCGGGCACTCCTCGGGCGTGGCCCCATTTCCTGGGGTGGAGGATGACTCACTGCCAGAAAGAAGCAGGGGCAGGACCAGTTATTTTTTTAAGCAACGACACACCTTGGCGAGCTGGCGAGGGACGCGGTCGGGGCCAGCGGATCCGCCCGGGACCGTCCAGGCGGGCCCCACAGGCCCTTTCTGTCACAGCACCAGGGCGCGACCGAGTGATTCATCCCCACCCCGGCCCGTCTCAAGCCTCCATGGGTTCGGAGCCCGCGGGCAGGCATCGGAAACTTGGCGCTCCCGCTCCCTCCACGGCGGCGCTGCCCGGACGCCCGACCGGGTCCCGTGGCCGAGAGCCCAGCCGCGCCGCGCACCCCGCATCCCGCGCCGCCCGCTGTCACCGGCCCCCAGTCCCTTTCGGGCGTGGGTCCTCCCGTCTCAGGGCCCCTCGACGTGGAGAAGGGGATGCCTAGCACGAGAGGGCGCGCGGCGGGGGGGGGGGGGGGGGCTGCCCGGGGCAGGGACCTGGGCTCCAGCGGCCGGGCTACTCATCTCATCACTAACCCCAGGCGGGTGCGGGTGCGGGTGCGGGTGCGAGTGCGGGCAGGTCAAGGGCCGGGGGTGCAGTGGGGGCCGACGGGGCCCACGGGGCCAAGGCCACGGGAGGCAGGAGAGGGGCGCGAGCTGGGGCCAGAGGAACGCGGGGGCGCCGCGCGGGCCCGGGCGCCGGCCAGTCCTCACCTGCCGGGCAGGTGTCCCGCCGCCGAGTCGCGCGTGTCGCTCTCCGAGGCGGAGCTGTCGTGGTCCACGGCGCAGGCGGCGCTGAAAGCCGCGGCCAGCAGCTCCATGGGGCCGGCGGCCGGCCGGCGCGGGGCCGGTGGAGGGGCGCGCGGGGGCCCGCAGCCCGGCCAGGGACCAGGGGCAAGGAGCGGGCTCCGGGTCCGGGGCGCACGGCGCGCTGCTGGAGCCGGAGCTGCAGCCGCCGCCGCAGCCGAGCGCTCCCGCGGGCGGGCGGGCGGGCGGACGCGCGCCTGGAGGATCCCGGAGTTGCCGTGGCAACGGGGGAGGCGGGAGGGGCGCGCTCGGCGGGGGCGAGTCCCGGCGGCGCGGCGCGGGGAGCGGGGCTGGGCGCTACCCTGGCGGCGGACCGGACCTCCCGCGGGGCTCGCGCCTCGCGCTCCCGCGCCGCCACCGCACGGGGCTCGGGGTGCGGAGGAGGGCGGGATGCGTGGGGGCCGGCGGACTGCGCCCCCCGCCTACCGCCCCTCCTCCTGGCCGCCTGGCCGGGCCCCACCAGCTCGGGAGGAGCACTCGGAAGGTCCGGGAGAGGTGACCCTCTGCCCTTCGCGCCCGGCGACGCCGCGCATCCTCTGCGGCGTCCCGCGGGGAACCCTGCCTCTGTCCATCCAGAAATGCCTCTGTCTGCGGGAGTCCGAGGCCGGGACTAGGGTCTTGGGGAGCCCCTGCGCCGTAGCTGCGGAGAGGGGGCTGGCCGCCCCCAGCGACCCGCTGGCCCTGCGCTGGCCGCCCGGCCCGGGATGGGGATGGTGGGACTGGAGGAGGAGAGACAAAGTGCCCCAAACCTGCACCCGGCGTCCCTGCTCCATCACACTGACTCTAGGAATCTGCATCCTCGTGTTAACTAGTTGAATCCGCTTCTGGATACAGAAAGCAAATAAAACCGGGAGCCCAGTGGAGTGTGAGTGATCGCGTGGTCAGCGGGGATTTATAGGGGTTTCATCCAGCTGGCACACTGCCCGGTGTCCTCTCCGAGGCTGCGGGCCAGGGCCAGGGCGAGAGGGTACCTGCGGACAGGGATGGGGAGTGCAGAGCGCAGGGGGGCTCTAAGTGTGTTTAAAGGAACAAATTCCTTGTTTGGGGATGCACATGCTGGTGGGAGGGTGCTAGTTAGCTTTACTAGGTTCCTTAGCCAGTCGTACAGTGTTTCCCAAACTTTTGACATATGTGCACCCCTTCTATAATTTTCATAACGCTGAGTACCCCTCGTACTCATGAGAACGTAGAATTAGGCGCAGCTAAGCACGGTGCATTGCATATCCCCACCAAACTCCGGTGCAACACGTACCCTCACCAAACTCTTCCCGTACCCCCAGGGTACGCGTACCACTCTTTGGGAAACACTGCTCTGAAACACGGCAGTTGTGTAAAAGTTAGTTTCCTCTAAGGTCCAGAATGGACAGTTCCCGTCTCCTCGTGCCCTTCAGGCCTCAGAATATCTCCATGACAGTCATCTGGTCCCCTCTTTTCCCAAGCTGAGCTCCTCTCTTGCTCGGCTCTTTCCACATGTCTCCAGACAGACAGCCTCCTGTTGAGTTCTACATTTCTATCTGCTCTCTGGCCATCTCTTTCCGATGTGCCTAAACACTCCACCAGGACACTCACATCTCCCCCTGCCACCAGCAGGAGGCCATCAGACAGTGAGAGCTGGCCTCCACTTCTCCTGCCCCTCCCGCCACCTCCATGTCAGTCAGTGCCGCACTGAGCACCCTGCGCCCCCAGTCCTTCAAAGCATGACCCCAATCCTTGGGCCTGTCCACACCCAGCTCATCCTCTCTCTGTCCCCTTTCTAAAATACGGGGCTACTTTCTTCCCTCCCATGCTTAACAACCTGCCTTGGGGTACCATCAGGGGGAGGGGGGGGTTCCTTGTCAGCTTCCTAGAGCCATTGTCCTTGCTGACTCCTCTGAGGCTTTGGTTTCACACACTTCCCCAGGCTCGGGGCTCTATGCTCCAGGGGTCAAGTAATTACTCTGGTGGGTGGAGGCACGCTGGGCCGCCCCTCCCCTAAGCCATCTCCTTTGTGTAACCAGCAGCATTGGCGACACTGTAATTCTCTGAGACTAGGGCTATCTTTCCATGAAGCCACAGGCTCCTCCGGGCTGGGCACTACCATGTCCTACTCATTTTTCATCAGGGTCCGAGGAAGAGCATGTGTGGCAGGCACTAGAACCTCCTGCTTTGCAGGGTTTCACCACCTCTCAATCTCAGAGCAGCATTCAGTGAAGCTTTTTACACTTTGCTGCACCAAGGGAAAAAGATTAAATTTTTTTTTTTTTTAAAAATCAGAAAATATTCAAGTGAAATTACATACAGGGTGGGCAAAAGTAGGCTTATAGTTGTTTGTACAATAATTAATAAACAATAATACAAGAATAAACTGTGTTTCATATACAACCGTTAGCCAGCTGTGAGCGTGAAGGTGAGCGTAATAAAACCTTCCAGTTGAAAAATAAGCTAAAAATATCTTTCTAATTATAAAATCAGTTTAGAAAGTCACTGAGTTCTGAAGGCATATAACCTTAAGCTGAATTCCCCATGTTCTATTTTCTATCATAGTTTAGTGCTTATTTGGCAGGAAATTATAACATCTCCATTTAACTGACACTTTATTCACAATATACTTTAGTCACAAAATGTAGATAGATTTTTCAAATATGCCTGATTACCACATGGTTGGTGCTCTGTTAAGTACTAGTATTTGTTAAGGAAGTAATGATATTTTGTTTGCTTTTTTAAAATATATTTTTATTGGTTTCAGAGAGGAATGGAGAGAGAGACATCAATGATGAGAATCATTGATAGGCTGGCTCCTGCACGCCCCCTACTGGGGATCGAGCCAGCAACCTGGGTTCATAGATCGATGCTCAACCACTGATCCATGCCAGCCAGGTAGTAATGGTATGTTTTAAAAAATATTTAGTGTTTAAAAAAAGGATCAGTGGATGGGAGAGAAAAGGGGGCATATGTAATACTTTCAACAATAAAGATTTAAAAAAAAAAAAAGGAAAGAAAAATCAATGGGTCAAAAGGGAGTCCCTTTTGACAAGCCACATCACCAAAACAAAACTTAATGACTCATCTAACACAATTTCAGACTTTGCCAGGCATGGAATTTTAAGCCAATCGGTATTGAATTTCCTGGTCCTCACTAGTGGGGTTCATCTGCTTGATAAGACCCCCTGCCTTCCCTAAGGAAGGTGTTCTTGTCTGAAATAATTCAACTCCGCTAACTTCTTAGTCCCACCCTCTTTCTGCCGTTAAAGAACCTTCCATTTGGAGGGAATCAATGAAACATGCTTCCAATTGCTAGATGGGATGTTGCCTGACTCATGAATTACTTAGGAAAACCAATTAGATCTTTAAATTTATTCAGCTGAGCTTCATTTTTTGAACATCAGTTAGTTCATATATTTTATCTAAAGATTGTTTATTTTTTCCTTTGAATTACAAAAAGTAAATGTTGGGGGAAAGTAGATTCTTATTTATATAGCCATCTCAGCCTTCAGGAATCTAAATTTATAAAATGTTACCTTACTCTGAGGGAGAATTGCTAAAAGCAGAAGGAGGTTTAGAAATGATCTGTTCCAACACATTTAATTGACAGAAAAGAGGAACAGAGCCAGAGGGTTAAAATGACAAGGTCGCACAGCTGGCTAATGGCAGATTTTGGAAGAATATGCTCCTAAGTCAAGACTGTGTTGTGTGGGATAAGGAACTGCACATTTCTATTTAATTATTCTAAATATTTTTTGGGTTACATGATCTGACAACAGACAATCAAAAGTTAAAATAGATTTGTAGTCTTCAATCTAGTAGGAAAAAGGACATAGAATTGTTTTTTGTAGTGAGGAGATAATCCTCAAATATATATTGGAAACATCTAGAAACAGGTGCGTGGTAACTTTTAATTAGCTGCATCTTTCACATCCATAAACAATTTATTTTTATCACTCTCAAAAGACTTTATTCAGTTGCTTTGAAAATCAACAAATTTAAACCACGTAGGCAGCCCCAGCAATAAACCCATGAAAAGCTAGAAGAGATGGTGCCAAGAAACCTGAAAACCCATATTGGATGGATACAAAGATTTCTTCTCCATAAGGAGAGGGGTCTCAAGTAGACGTGTCCTGTTGCATGGTGGGAAGTACTTTTCTGGAGAGGGGGAGGTGGATGTCTTTCCTTAGTTTTGATCGTAAGGATAATTTGTAAATGTGGGATTGTAACATGCTGGAAATAAGTTAAGCATTTATTTACATATGGAAA